TCACTGTCTTCCCGCCAGGGGAGGCTAACACTCACTGTCTTCCCGCCAGGGGAGGCTAACACTCACTGTCTTCCCGCCAGGGGAGGCTAACACTCACTGTCTTCCCGCCAGGGGAGGCTAACACTCACTGTCTTCCCGCCAGGGGAGGCTAACACTCACTGTCTTCCCGCCAGGGGAGGCTAACACTCACTGTCTTCCCGCCAGGGGAGGCTAACACTCACTGTCTTCCCGCCAGGGGAGGCTAACACTCACTGTCTTCCCGCCAGGGGAGGCTAACACTCACTGTCTTCCCGCCAGGGGAGGCTAACACTCACTGTCTTCCCGCCAGGGGAGGCTAACACTCACTGTCTTCCCGCCAGGGGAGGCTAACACTCACTGTCTTCCCGCCAGGGGAGGCTAACACTCACTGTCTTCCCGCCAGGGGAGGCTAACACTCACTGTCTTCCCGCCAGGGGAGGCTAACACTCACTGTCTTCCCGCCAGGGGAGGCTAACACTCACTGTCTTCCCGCCAGGGGAGGCTAACACTCACTGTCTTCCCGCCAGGGGAGGCTAACACTCACTGTCTTCCCGCCAGGGGAGGCTAACACTCACTGTCTTCCCGCCAGGGGAGGCTAACACTCACTGTCTTCCCGCCAGGGGAGGCTAACACTCACTGTCTTCCCGCCAGGGGAGGCTAACACTCACTGTCTTCCCGCCAGGGGAGGCTAACACTCACTGTCTTCCCGCCAGGGGAGGCTAACACTCACTGTCTTCCCGCCAGGGGAGGCTAACACTCACTGTCTTCCCGCCAGGGGAGGCTAACACTCACTGTCTTCCCGCCAGGGGAGGCTAACACTCACTGTCTTCCCGCCAGGGGAGGCTAACACTCACTGTCTTCCCGCCAGGGGAGGCTAACACTCACTGTCTTCCCGCCAGGGGAGGCTAACACTCACTGTCTTCCCGCCAGGGGAGGCTAACACTCACTGTCTTCCCGCCAGGGGAGGCTAACACTCACTGTCTTCCCGCCAGGGGAGGCTAACACTCACTGTCTTCCCGCCAGGGGAGGCTAACACTCACTGTCTTCCCGCCAGGGGAGGCTAACACTCACTGTCTTCCCGCCAGGGGAGGCTAACACTCACTGTCTTCCCGCCAGGGGAGGCTAACACTCACTGTCTTCCCGCCAGGGGAGGCTAACACTCACTGTCTTCCCGCCAGGGGAGGCTAACACTCACTGTCTTCCCGCCAGGGGAGGCTAACACTCACTGTCTTCCCGCCAGGGGAGGCTAACACTCACTGTCTTCCCGCCAGGGGAGGCTAACACTCACTGTCTTCCCGCCAGGGGAGGCTAACACTCACTGTCTTCCCGCCAGGGGAGGCTAACACTCACTGTCTTCCCGCCAGGGGAGGCTAACACTCACTGTCTTCCCGCCAGGGGAGGCTAACACTCACTGTCTTCCCGCCAGGGGAGGCTAACACTCACTGTCTTCCCGCCAGGGGAGGCTAACACTCACTGTCTTCCCGCCAGGGGAGGCTAACACTCACTGTCTTCCCGCCAGGGGAGGCTAACACTCACTGTCTTCCCGCCAGGGGAGGCTAACACTCACTGTCTTCCCGCCAGGGGAGGCTAACACTCACTGTCTTCCCGCCAGGGGAGGCTAACACTCACTGTCTTCCCGCCAGGGGAGGCTAACACTCACTGTCTTCCCGCCAGGGGAGGCTAACACTCACTGTCTTCCCGCCAGGGGAGGCTAACACTCACTGTCTTCCCGCCAGGGGAGGCTAACACTCACTGTCTTCCCGCCAGGGGAGGCTAACACTCACTGTCTTCCCGCCAGGGGAGGCTAACACTCACTGTCTTCCCGCCAGGGGAGGCTAACACTCACTGTCTTCCCGCCAGGGGAGGCTAACACTCACTGTCTTCCCGCCAGGGGAGGCTAACACTCACTGTCTTCCCGCCAGGGGAGGCTAACACTCACTGTCTTCCCGCCAGGGGAGGCTAACACTCACTGTCTTCCCGCCAGGGGAGGCTAACACTCACTGTCTTCCCGCCAGGGGAGGCTAACACTCACTGTCTTCCCGCCAGGGGAGGCTAACACTCACTGTCTTCCCGCCAGGGGAGGCTAACACTCACTGTCTTCCCGCCAGGGGAGGCTAACACTCACTGTCTTCCCGCCAGGGGAGGCTAACACTCACTGTCTTCCCGCCAGGGGAGGCTAACACTCACTGTCTTCCCGCCAGGGGAGGCTAACACTCACTGTCTTCCCGCCAGGGGAGGCTAACACTCACTGTCTTCCCGCCAGGGGAGGCTAACACTCACTGTCTTCCCGCCAGGGGAGGCTAACACTCACTGTCTTCCCGCCAGGGGAGGCTAACACTCACTGTCTTCCCGCCAGGGGAGGCTAACACTCACTGTCTTCCCGCCAGGGGAGGCTAACACTCACTGTCTTCCCGCCAGGGGAGGCTAACACTCACTGTCTTCCCGCCAGGGGAGGCTAACACTCACTGTCTTCCCGCCAGGGGAGGCTAACACTCACTGTCTTCCCGCCAGGGGAGGCTAACACTCACTGTCTTCCCGCCAGGGGAGGCTAACACTCACTGTCTTCCCGCCAGGGGAGGCTAACACTCACTGTCTTCCCGCCAGGGGAGGCTAACACTCACTGTCTTCCCGCCAGGGGAGGCTAACACTCACTGTCTTCCCGCCAGGGGAGGCTAACACTCACTGTCTTCCCGCCAGGGGAGGCTAACACTCACTGTCTTCCCGCCAGGGGAGGCTAACACTCACTGTCTTCCCGCCAGGGGAGGCTAACACTCACTGTCTTCCCGCCAGGGGAGGCTAACACTCACTGTCTTCCCGCCAGGGGAGGCTAACACTCACTGTCTTCCCGCCAGGGGAGGCTAACACTCACTGTCTTCCCGCCAGGGGAGGCTAACACTCACTGTCTTCCCGCCAGGGGAGGCTAACACTCACTGTCTTCCCGCCAGGGGAGGCTAACACTCACTGTCTTCCCGCCAGGGGAGGCTAACACTCACTGTCTTCCCGCCAGGGGAGGCTAACACTCACTGTCTTCCCGCCAGGGGAGGCTAACACTCACTGTCTTCCCGCCAGGGGAGGCTAACACTCACTGTCTTCCCGCCAGGGGAGGCTAACACTCACTGTCTTCCCGCCAGGGGAGGCTAACACTCACTGTCTTCCCGCCAGGGGAGGCTAACACTCACTGTCTTCCCGCCAGGGGAGGCTAACACTCACTGTCTTCCCGCCAGGGGAGGCTAACACTCACTGTCTTCCCGCCAGGGGAGGCTAACACTCACTGTCTTCCCGCCAGGGGAGGCTAACACTCACTGTCTTCCCGCCAGGGGAGGCTAACACTCACTGTCTTCCCGCCAGGGGAGGCTAACACTCACTGTCTTCCCGCCAGGGGAGGCTAACACTCACTGTCTTCCCGCCAGGGGAGGCTAACACTCACTGTCTTCCCGCCAGGGGAGGCTAACACTCACTGTCTTCCCGCCAGGGGAGGCTAACACTCACTGTCTTCCCGCCAGGGGAGGCTAACACTCACTGTCTTCCCGCCAGGGGAGGCTAACACTCACTGTCTTCCCGCCAGGGGAGGCTAACACTCACTGTCTTCCCGCCAGGGGAGGCTAACACTCACTGTCTTCCCGCCAGGGGAGGCTAACACTCACTGTCTTCCCGCCAGGGGAGGCTAACACTCACTGTCTTCCCGCCAGGGGAGGCTAACACTCACTGTCTTCCCGCCAGGGGAGGCTAACACTCACTGTCTTCCCGCCAGGGGAGGCTAACACTCACTGTCTTCCCGCCAGGGGAGGCTAACACTCACTGTCTTCCCGCCAGGGGAGGCTAACACTCACTGTCTTCCCGCCAGGGGAGGCTAACACTCACTGTCTTCCCGCCAGGGGAGGCTAACACTCACTGTCTTCCCGCCAGGGGAGGCTAACACTCACTGTCTTCCCGCCAGGGGAGGCTAACACTCACTGTCTTCCCGCCAGGGGAGGCTAACACTCACTGTCTTCCCGCCAGGGGAGGCTAACACTCACTGTCTTCCCGCCAGGGGAGGCTAACACTCACTGTCTTCCCGCCAGGGGAGGCTAACACTCACTGTCTTCCCGCCAGGGGAGGCTAACACTCACTGTCTTCCCGCCAGGGGAGGCTAACACTCACTGTCTTCCCGCCAGGGGAGGCTAACACTCACTGTCTTCCCGCCAGGGGAGGCTAACACTCACTGTCTTCCCGCCAGGGGAGGCTAACACTCACTGTCTTCCCGCCAGGGGAGGCTAACACTCACTGTCTTCCCGCCAGGGGAGGCTAACACTCACTGTCTTCCCGCCAGGGGAGGCTAACACTCACTGTCTTCCCGCCAGGGGAGGCTAACACTCACTGTCTTCCCGCCAGGGGAGGCTAACACTCACTGTCTTCCCGCCAGGGGAGGCTAACACTCACTGTCTTCCCGCCAGGGGAGGCTAACACTCACTGTCTTCCCGCCAGGGGAGGCTAACACTCACTGTCTTCCCGCCAGGGGAGGCTAACACTCACTGTCTTCCCGCCAGGGGAGGCTAACACTCACTGTCTTCCCGCCAGGGGAGGCTAACACTCACTGTCTTCCCGCCAGGGGAGGCTAACACTCACTGTCTTCCCGCCAGGGGAGGCTAACACTCACTGTCTTCCCGCCAGGGGAGGCTAACACTCACTGTCTTCCCGCCAGGGGAGGCTAACACTCACTGTCTTCCCGCCAGGGGAGGCTAACACTCACTGTCTTCCCGCCAGGGGAGGCTAACACTCACTGTCTTCCCGCCAGGGGAGGCTAACACTCACTGTCTTCCCGCCAGGGGAGGCTAACACTCACTGTCTTCCCGCTCCCTCTTGTTTCTCCTCTCTCTCCTCCCCATGCACTCTGCTGCCTCTCTCTTTTCCCCCCGTCAGAGCTGGCCTCGGAGTTCCTGGGGCAGCTGCTGCCATTCGCCATGGGGCACGTGCCTCTGGAGGCCAACACGCTGGACGTCAAGATGCCTGCCCGGGACGACACCATGGCTCTCACGCTCAAGGCGTGGTACGTGCGTGTGCAGTGCGGTGTCAGGAGATGGGATGGGATGGGATGGGATGGGAGGGAGTGGTACTTTTTGCCCCTATTCACTCTGGGCGTGAAGATACCTGCCTGGGGCGACGCGATGGCTCTCTCGCTCAACGTGTGGTATGTGTGTGTGCAGTGCAGTGTGAGGCGATGGGATGGCATGGGATGGGATGGGATGGGCTTGCTAGTGTTTGAACACGCTAGCATGCGAAGGCTCCTCCGGGGCTAACCCGTGTGGAACGCAGATCTTCCCTCTCCTCTTGCCGCTCTTCCTGTGTCAAGCTGTATCAGCACCCACACACAGACCTTCCCATGTTACCTGTATCCCATTCCATGCCCCACTGCATGCCCCACTGCATGCCCCACTGCATGCCCCACTCCAAGCCCATACCCTCGCACGGACCACCTCTCGCATACGTGTACCGTGTACCCATACCCATCCGTACCACTCTGTATCCCTCTCCGCACCCCAGCAGCGATAGAAACGTGGTGGAGTGGTTCAAGACGACCTGGGAGCGAGTGCAGTTCCACTCCAGCACAGACCACCACACCACTCACATCCGTGTGCACCCATACCCACGCGGACCCACGTGTACCCACCTGTACCACTCTCTATCTCTCACCAGGAGCAACAGGGACGTGGTGGTGTGGTTCAAAACGACCTGGGAGGGAGCGAGTGAAGTTCCACCCTCACACAGACGACATTGCTCTGCCCATGCTGCCGTACCGCTCCACTCCATTTGTTTTCCACTATCCCACTCCATTTGTTTTCCACTATCCCACTCCACCACGCTCATACCCCCACACGGCCACACACCAGGAGCAACAGGGATGTGGTGGTGTGGTTCAAGACGACGTGGGAGCGAGTGAAGTTCCACCCGCACACGGACGACATTGCGCTGCCCATGCTGCCGTACCAAAAGAGCTTGCATGCCACGGCTGAGCGGCTGCTAGCACGTCTGCCTCGCCCACTCATTGCTGTTCACTTCCGCTCCGAGTTCATCGCTTTCAGAGTGGTGAGTGGGGGGATGGGTGGCTAGAGGGGAGGGGAAGCAGGGTCTAAGAGGCTACCTGCATGCCACGGCTGAGCGCCTGCTGGCGCTCCTGCCTCGCCCGCTCATTGCTGATCACTTCCGTTCCGAGTTCATGGCTTTCCGAGTGGTGAGTTAGCACAGAGAGGGAATGAGAAGGAGGGGCACGTGGTGAGAGGAGAAGCAACGAGGGAGTGAGGGAGGGGGCAGAGAGTGGAGGAAGGAGCTCCGTGCGGTCGCTGCTGTGTGCCGGCTGGCGAGCCGTCTCGGGCCCTTGCATGCTGAGCTCTGTTATGCGAATTCTCACAAGTGATTCCCTTGCATGGTGGAATCTGCCTGTGCCGCCCTGGCTATGTTTGCTATGTGCTAGGCTCTGCATTATGGGTGCTTCAAGCGATGAGATGGGAGGGGGACAGAGGGGGAGGGGAGAAAGGAGAAGGGAGAGGGGCTGGGGGGGGCAGGAAGGCTAGGCAGGCAACGAGGAGAGGCAACTCTTCCCGAGTACTCTCACCCTTTTCCGTGACACCACACCCGTCCCTCTTCCCTAGTCGTGTGGTAGCAAGAGAGTATGGTGAGTGGGGGCAGCAAGGCCTTGGCCTTGTCAGGAGTGTTGAATCACAGCTGGAGCCCTACTCCCCTCTGAATCGCCGAAAAAAAGCTGTTTCCCCCTCTCTCCCTGTGCCAAATTGTGCAGCAAGAGGACATGGTGAGTCAGGGCGGCAAGGCGAACGCAAGCATGGTGCAGCAGCGGCTGGACTGGTGTGTGGGCGAGGCTGAGCGCCTTATCACCTCCGTCCGCGACTCGCTCTCTCACTCCTCCACCGGTGGCAACAGCACCAACCCCCCCAGTAGCAGCAGCAGCGGTGGCAACAGCAGCACGGGCAGTGGCAGTGGTCCATCGGTGTTCATCGCAGCCGACGTGCCGTTCAACGAGTCTGCCGCCCCGGCGCGGTCCGACTCGTGGACGGAGATGGTTCAGTGGTACGACGGGGACAGCCGCGTGCTCAAATCGTCGTCCGCTGCGCTGCACCGCCTGAGAAGAAACGTGCACGGGACTGTTATGATCGATGAGATCATGCCGGAGGTCAACGAGTTCGACCCAGGTGGGTGCGGGTGGATGTGAGTTGCCCAGGTAGTAACCCAGGTGAGATGGTGCAGTGGACCAGTGGTTTATGCTTCAAGACCCATGACCAGTGCTGTTCGTGCGAACGTGCATGGCACCGTGATGATTGATGGTGACATGCCGGCAGTGAACGCGCTTGACCTGGGTGGGTGGCGTGGCGTGGCGGGAGAGGGGAGTGTGAGGGGCAGCTCTGACCGCCCTCTACCACACGGCTGTGCATGTGAACGTGCATGGCACTGTGATGATCAATGAAGTCATAACGCAAGTGAAGGAGCTCGACCCAGGTAGGTGTATGAAGGGCGCGTAAGGGGTCACTCTGACTGCCCTCCTCCACACTGCTATGGGGGCGGCAGGGGGTATGATATGAGAACACCTTTTCACTGCCTTGTTCTCTCCCCTTCCCTCCTCCAGGCGTGGTGGCCATTCTAGACAAGCTGGTGTGTGCGCATGCAAACGTGTTCCTGGCGGGGTCGTGGGCCTGTGGGGGCGGCAGGGGGTATGAAACGGACATTATGAAACACCGCCGGCAGGCTGGTTACTCTGATGACACACTGAAGCGATGGGCGGAAGAGCAGTGAGCAATACGCGCCTAGAATCTGAGGGACTGTGGGGCCGTGAGGCTGTGGGGTTGTGGGACTGTGGGTGCGGCAGGGGGTACGAGACGGACATTATGAAGCACCGCCGCCAGTCTGGTTGTTTCGATGACATGTTGCAATGGTGGGCTGAAGGGCGGTGAGGTGCGGCGATGGGCGCAGGGGCAGTGAACAAATCAATCTCAGAAGTTAGAGGAATTGTGGGGCTGAGAGGCTCTGAGGATCTTGGGGCTGAGAGGCTCTGAGGATCTTGGGGCTGTGAGGCTCTGAGGATCTTGGGGCTGTGAGGCTCTGAGGATCTTGGGGCTGTGGCGGCGGGAGGCGGTACGAGACGGACGTCATGAAGCACCACCGCACCTCCGATGATACACTGCAGCGATGGGCGGAAGAGCAGTGAGGTGCAGCGATGGGTGCAGGGGCAGTGAAGCACATGCCCCTAGATACAGACCTTTGGGGTGTGCTGCTGTAGCGATGGGTGCAGGCACACCGAATAAATCGTGCTAGAAGCTACGCTGGTGATGCCGCTGGAGCGGTACAAGAGCAACGGGCGAGAGATGCCGGAGGTGGGAAGAAATGGGAACACACGGGGCTTCCAAGTGGTTTCTGCTGTGACAATCACGGCGAGGGGCACCGCTGCACCGCTGCTTGGTTCTGCAGCCGTTGAAAACTGGGTTGCAGGATGGTGCTTCTGCCATTCCGCTGCTTGTGACTTGACTGGAATGCCAGCAATAGGAAGCCCTATCCCCCCTGTAGCGGATCAAAGGGATAGCATACGTGAGTTGCTGTAGTGTTTTGCCATGTGATATATAAGACTAGTATGAGGTTACTGTCACACTGCATTTCTTACTGCTCTGGCAGCGTTTTGTAAGTAGTTAGTGTGCATGCAGTTACCTTAGAAATCAATAATGTCATCAATTTTGAGGTAATGAGAATGCTTAGTGGATGTGAGACAGTTTCACTCAATACAGTTACGGTTCAAGCACTCCGCCTCCTCTAGTCCACGTCACAGTCCTTCCCCAGGTAGCCTTTTGAGGCGCCTCAGAAGTCCTTCCCCAGATACCCTTGCACCCATTTCATCGACTAAAGGCATGTCATTTTTGGTACTAAGCGTACATTCCGCTCTGGACACATGTCCCAATCGATGTGTCCCAATCGTTTCTACCGCACTGCATCGTATTACACCAAATTGCACCCTAGTTTCGAAATTTTCGCGTTTCTGGTTTAGTTCGGTTCGGAGCGGTACACTCGATTGGAACATGTGTCCACAGCGGAATGTACCCTAAGTCCAGTTTAGACAAATACCTGTGCAATGCATTTTAATGGCCTATAAAACTACAACAATTCAAATGAATGTTACACGAATCACAGCGAAGAACTCCGTGCGTCGTCGTGTCGTGTCATCTCCTACTCCAGGAGCCCTGGCGCCTGTACGTGCTCATGCTCATGGCATGGCTGGCAATCACACTCCCCGCATCCCCCCCATTCTGCATGCGCGGACTCGATGGCCTCGGGCTCGCCACTCGTGGCGACATGCCCATTGTTCCCACGCCAGGGGAACCTCCATTCATACCCCCTGGAGGTCCAAAGGCCCGGGGTGAATAGCCCCTGGGTGACATGGCCCTGGGGCTACTTCCACTACTACCCTGGAAATGCAGGGCACGGGGGCTAGATGTCCGCATGGCAGCAGACGCAATCATGGCTCCAATGTCCGGAGCGGTGGGGCTAGCCGCATTGCGGGACGTATAGTAGCTATTGTTCACGCTCGGCGAGCCGCCTATCCTCGGGCTGCTGCTGCATCGGTACGGCTCGGCAGCCCTTGCCGAGCCTGGCATCCCGTACTGCCTCGGGCTGCTGCTGCTGGCTCGGTAAGGCTCAGGAGCCCTTGCCGAGCCTGGCATGCCGTAGTAAGCACTGTTCTGTGACATCGATCCAGCCCCCCCTATCCGGGGACTCGTCCCTCTACTCGAATCTGACCAAGCAGCACCACCTCCGCCCCCTCCCCCACCGCTGCCGTACCCACCAGACCTTCCGGGAACAGAGGCAGCAGCGGGGTACCCGCGGGGGCTGGGGTCGCGGAAGTAGGGGGCGCGGGGGGAGGGCTCTCGGATGGCGGTGTGGGGGGAGGAGTCGCGCGGGGGGTGTGTGCGGGGGGAGGAGTCGCAGTGGCGGAAGGCGGCGCGGGGGGAGGGGTCGCGGTAGGCCAGGGAGCGCGCACTGGATGGGCTGGGCCTCCTCGCCACCCAGTCGTCCCTCTGATGGGGGGAGGGAGAGGGAGGGAGAACAAGGGCGAGAGGGATGGAGGGAGAAGCAGGGCGGAGGAAGTGGTGGGGAGGGGAAAAGGGGGTGAGTACAAGAGGAGTGGAAATTCTGTGGCATGTTTGGGCTTGTGAACACTCAACGCGCAGATTCCACCAGAACTGCACACTCAACCACCCCGACTCATTACCACGCCACGCCACACCCACCCATGCCCCCACCTGCGTAAGGTCTTGGTTCAGAGCATACCCCTGCTTGGGGTCTTCACTCTCCAGCATGTGCATGACGACCTGCGGCATCTTGGGGCGCTTGAGAGCGTTGGGCTCAACACATCTCAGCGCCACTCCCAACGTGCATTGCACATCTTGGCCACAGGCATTACCACACCACACCCACTCATGACCACACCACACCCATTCATACCTGCTTGGGGTCCTCGCTCTCCAGCATGTGCACGATCTGCGGCATCTTGGGGCGCTTAAGTGCATTGGGCTCCACGCATCGCAGCGCCACGCCCAGCGCGTACTCCACATCGTCTGCCTGCACCGTGCCCTGCAGCCGCGGGTCCAGCACCTCTAACAGCCGCTCCTCTGCTGCCTTGGCGCGCACCCACCGCACCAAGTCCACCTGATAAGAGTGAAGGGAGGGAGCGAGTGAGGCAGTGAGTGAGAGAGTGAGTGGGTGTGGGGAGGAGCAGGGGCATACTCCACGTCGTCTGCCTGTACCGTGCCCTGCAGGCGTGGATCTAGGACCTTGACGAGGCGCCCCTTTGCTGCCTTGGCTCGTACCTGATAACGGCTCAAGGGAGGCAGTGAGTGAGAGAGTGAGTGAGAGAGTGAGTGAGAGAGTGAGTGAGGGAGTGAGTGAGAGAGTGAGTGAGAGAGTGAGTGAGGGAGTGAGTGAGAGAGTGAGTGAGGGAGTGAGTGAGAGAGTGAGTGAGGGAGTGAGTGAGAGAGTGAGTGAGAGAGTGAGTGAGGGAGTGAGTGAGAGAGTGAGTGAGGGAGTGAGTGAGAGAGTGAGTGAGGGAGTGAGTGAGAGAGTGAGTGAGGGAGTGAGTGAGAGAGTGAGTGAGAGAGTGAGTGAGAGAGTGAGTGAGGGAGTGGAGGATCAGGGGCGTTGACTATACGTTGGTAGCTCAAAAGGTCACATGAGAGTGCACTACAGGTGAAAGCTCACCTGAACTGGAAGTGCTTCTTGATCCATAGGCCGTCTACCCCACTTGCGTTCCTGCACGCACTAAATCTGTTCTCAGCTCGGCGCGCTCAAGCTAATTGAGCATGTGCATCAAGCACTGTCATCCCAGGCCTACCAGATTTGATTGTGCTTCATGACCCATCGGCTGTCGATCACACATTGGTACCTGCACACGCTGACTCTCATGTCAGCTCACATATGGCATCACATGACATGTGCACGCATGGTGCTCCCGAGCCTACCTGGTCCGGGGTTGCTTTGTTTTTCATGACCCGCCTCCTGTCCTTGCGTTTCTGCACAGGGCCGGAGATGAGTTCCAGCAACAGCTGCCCAAAGAGCTCTGCTCAAGTCACATGCGCGTGCATTGCATTTGCAAGCCCACCTGGTCGGAGGGAGCCTCGTTGTCGATGGGCGGGCGGCCGGAGATGAGTTCGAGCAGCAGCACGCCAAAGCTGTACACGTCACTGCGCTCCGTGAGCAGCCCCGTGTTCATGTACTCCGGCGCCACGTACCTGCAATACGAATGGGAACGAGGATTGGGAGAGGAGGATCGGGAGAGGAGGATCGGGAGAGGAGGGTCGGGAGAGGAGGGTCAGGATGAATGCGACTCTTTTAACGTTAAATCAAAGTGATCTAGATGGAATATGGCCAATCATAAATGAGACTGTATCTGTCTGGCGTTTTGATATGGTCAGAAGAAGGGGGTCGGGAGAGGAGGGTCGAGAAGAGACAAGCGCTCACATGCCCGCCCCCACACACGAGCACTCCATGAATCATCAAGTCAACTCACCCAAACGTGCCCATGACTCGCGTGCCCACGTGCCCTTGCTCCCTCCCCATGGCCTTGGCCAGGGCGAAGTCGCCCAGCTTGGCGTTCCACTGCGCGTCCAGCAGCACGTTAGACGCCTTCACGTCCCTGTGCACCACCTTCACCGCCATGCCGCCATGCAGGTGGGCCAAGCTGCATGGGTTGAGACGAAGAGGAACGAATGGGAACAGCAAAGGGGGTGCACAACTTAGGATTACCTACCCGCACCAATCAGATAACGCACGCCACTCACCCTTTGGCATAGCCTACACCCACATGCGTATGCATGCAGCAAGCACGGGTTGAGAGAGAGAGAGAGAGAGAGAGAGAGAGAGAGAGAGAGAGAGAGAGAGAGAGAGAGAGAGAGAGAGAGAGAGAGAGAGAGAGAGAGAGAGAGAGAGAGAAAGAGAGAGAGAGAGAGAGAGAGAGAGAGAGAGAGAGAGAGAGAGAGAGAGAGAGAGAGAGAGAGAGGGAGGGAGAGAGAGGCAACAAGTGAGAAGAGAGGAGGAAGCACGTACCCTTTGGCACAGCCAATAGCCACGTGCATGCGCATGGGCCAGTCCAGCGTATCCGCCGACCCTCCAGCAGCCGTCTGGTAGAGCCAGGCGTCCAGGGAGCCGTTGGGCAGGTACTCGTACACCAGCATGCGCTCGTCGCCCTCCACACAGCACCCTAATACTGCCGCTAGGTTGGGGTGCTTGGCCTGCGCTAGCGAGTCTATTTCAAACTTGAACTCGCGGGGCGATTGCTCCAAACTGGCGTGAGATGGGACGGTGGAGATGGTAAGAGAGAGGGGGGGGGGGGGGGGGGGGGGAGAAGGGAAGAGTGGGGATATGGTAAGAGGGGAGGCGGGGTTTAGGGCGGGCAGACATGACGTGTGAGATAGATTGGACCCCAGCTGGGTGTGACAAGGATCAAGCTTGGATTCAATTCTTGCCACTTGTGTGTTGGACTTACTTTTTGTCACTCAGTCGTTTCACGGCCACCGTGGTCCCCTCGGGTAACCGCGCGCGGTAAACAGTGCCGTGCCGCCCGCTGCCCAGCACACTGCGCTCACTCTGCCGCCCGAAGTCGTTCGTCGCCAGCGCCAGCTCAGCAACCGTGAAGTACCGCTCCAAACCGTGCCCTGCTGCCTCGTCACCATCTGCTGACGTGTCAGACGTATCTCCATCCGTCCTCTCTCCTTCCAATCCCTCTCCCCTGCCACTGCTTCTGCCAGTGACCACTCCAGCAGCACCAGCAGGAGCAGCACGAGAGGGCGAGATAGCAGCAGCTGCGGCAGCCACAGTGGCAGCAGATGCGCCTGCCCAGCCCCTGGGAATAGCAGGCGATACTGCTGCTCCTCCTCCTCCTGCTCCTGCTGCTACTGCCGCTCTAGTGCTTGTTAAAGGCTGTTTAACTCCGGGGTAATCGCTATCACTGCTCTCACTCGTAACGCTGCTCTCCTCCTCCTCCTCCTCCCCGCGTTCCCCCTCTGCTGCGTGCAGGTCTGTCACTCGCAGGGACCTCCCAGCAGGCCCATACACCCCCACCCGCACGCCAGATGAGCCTGCCCCAGCAGCACCACCTGCCCCAGATACACCTGCTCCAGTTCCGCCTGCCCCAGATGCACCTGCCCTTGGCGCTCCTGCCCCTGGCTTGCGAGGGCTGTCCCCTAGAACCCCCTTACCCACTACTGCAGCGCTGGTAACAGCCGGCGCTGCAGCCACTCTCCCGTACCCCCCTCCACTCTCCTCCATCTCGATCTCCTCCGTGTCTGAATCCCGATCGCTGCTCGCACCAGATGCAGCAGACGCACCAGTGGTTGCAGACGCCGCTGCTGCTGACTGCCCCCCAACTCGCCCCCTGCTCGCTGCTGCAGTCGCAGCTGCAAACGCAGCAGACATTGCAGCAGGCATTGCAGCCGACGTGGCAGCCGACGTGGCAGCAGACGTGGCGGCAGAAGGCACAGCAGGTGCAGCCACACGAGTCGCGCCACTGCTGTTGTGGGCGTGAACGGCGGTCGCGCCCATGAGAGAGCCGCCCTTGCTGGCATCGTCCCACCCTCTGTCCCTACTCACCACTGACGACACCACTGAGTGTGACCCTGGCCCCTCACTCTCGCTCTCACTCTCACTCTCCTTACCCCACTCTCTCCCGCCCTCCCTCTCCCTCTCGGCCTCTCTCGCTGCAACCGGGTCAGCCACGGCAGCGCGCTGAGCCCTCGGCGCGCCCCACCCGCCGAGGGCCTTCACAGGGCTGGGGGTGTTGGCGCTGCTGCGCACCACACTCGCGACGCTCGCACTGCCATACGCCGTCGCTTTGTCACTCGACTGGGGCAAGTACGCACTGTCGTAATAAGCAACAGAAGCAGCACCAGCTGCACCACCAGCAGCGCTGCCCCTCTCGCTCCCATTCCTTGACTCATCCTCCTGCCGGCCGAACGATCCGCTCTGCCCCGGCCCCCGAGCCTGCCCCTGAGGCTGCTCCCAAGCCGCCGGTTTCCGGGGCTGCTCCGCAGGTCTGGGCGACCGCCTCGGTGGCGTCCCACCCTGTCGCTCGTTCCTCTCCGATCGTCCGCGCGACGCTTGCCTGGCTGTAGCCGCCACAGCAGCAGCCCCCGCTGTCGCCGCCGCGGCTCCCGCTACAGCCGGTCCTGCTACAGCCGCCGAGCGCGACGCGCCGCCTGTCGGCGAGGCGGCAGCGGGGAACACAGCGCGATCGCGCGAGGACGGCAGACAGCCGTTCATCTCGCCGCCCATCTCGACATCGACGGCCAAGGAGCGCGCTCCTGGGGAGCCGACAGACGCGGCGACGGAGGAGGGCGGCTTGGCGCCGGTACGATTTGTCTGCTTCTGCTTCTTTGCCGCCCAGGCGCCGCCCGCGGCGACGGACAGGGCGGGTTCCTTGAGTCCGTCATTCGCCTGGTGAGGGCGGCAGTCAGCGGGTGCGGGGGTAGGGGCGGGGGGAAGCGGGAAAAGGTGGGATGAGAAGAGGCGGGGTAAGCGGGTGTTGTGAGCGGGAAGTACAGGGAAGGCAGAATGGAAGCGGGAAGGGGTCAACGGCCAGGATAACTTATCCCACAACTCACCGCGCCCTTGGCGGTCTTGCCCTTGCGCTCGCCCTTGCAGCAGCAGCACCACACGACCAGCAGCACCGACAGGATACACGCCAGCCCCGCAGCTGCTCCTATCGCGATATACACGGGCGTCGTTAACCCCCCGCTGCTGCCGCCGCTGCTGCCGCTGCTGTCACTGCTGTTGCTACTGCTGCTGGTGCCCTCCGCAGCAGCCGCGGTGCTGCCGGTCGCGGGTTGCGGCGACGGCGGCGGAGTGGCCGGCTTGAGCGGGATGAACTCGTCAACGGGCGAGGCGGACGGCGGGGAGGGGGAAGATGCATTCCCCGGAAGGGGAGTGGCGGAGTTAGACGGGGCGGGATGGGCGGAGCGGGGAGGTATGGTGGTGGGGGAGGGGGATACTCCAGGCACTGTGGGGTTGTTGGGTGGCAGCCTGGGGGTGACTGGAAGCCGCGGCTTCGGAGCGACCTTGGGAGTGGGTACAACGGGAATCCGCGGCGTGGGTGTAACGGGAATCCTGGGCGTGGGTGTAACGGGAATCCTGGGCGTGGGTGTAACGGGGGTCTTGGGCTTGGGTGTGGGAGTGACGGGAATCCTGGGTGTGGGGGTTTTCGGCGGCAGCTTGGGCAGCGGGACGTACGGCGGATCGCCCGGACAGGCCTGCACGGCCGCAAAGACAAGTAGGCGAGTGAGCACAAGAGATCCCGAGCCTCACGGTTTTCCTGATGTTCCTGATTAGTACCGCATGCAAGGAACAGTGAAAACCAATTGAGCATATAGCTGACGGTCAAGCATCTAGCCGGTAGGCATGCCTCTAGCCGACAGATTGGCATCTAGGAGACGCACCCTTAGGCCGGTGAATCCGGTTCCGCAGAAGCCGGCGCCATTGGCGGAGAAGTTGTAATGGGCGGTGCGGCTGGCGCGCAGGTAGTCGAGTCCTCGGGGCACGCGGCCTGTAAGGCGATTCTCCGCCAGCGACACGTCCTGCAGCAGTTTCAGATTGCCGATGGCGTCCGGAATCGAACCCGCGAGCTCGTTGTTGTTGAGCTCCAGCACCTTGAGCTGCACAGGTGCATGTGTCCGAAGGCATTGACGCAGGGCATCGTCGCAGGGCATTGTCTCAGGCGAAACATGCCACATGGGGGATCAGAACCGACAGAAACTAGCGAGGGTTGGTTGTTCAGTCGACCCAGATATCATGACAGGACGAGGAAAGGGCGGGGAGGGTGGGCGTGCCTTGGTGAGCAGGCCGAGGGAGGCGGGAATGGCGTCGCCGAGCTGGTTGCGGCTGAGGTCCAGCGAGAAGAGGCTCGTCACCAGATTCAGCTCCGGGATTCGCCCGCCCAGCCGGTTGTTGCACAGGTTCAGCACCTGACCGAAGAGCACACACGACGGAAATCGTCAGAGGAGTGGGTATCGTTTGTATTACAGAGAGCCGCCGCTCACGGTAAAGGAGGGGCCCGGAAATTTCGGCGTCTCAAAACCCCGAGGCTTGCACCTGGAGGCTGAGGATGTTGTTGACGCTGTTTGGGAATGAAAAACCTTAGAGCCCGCCATCGTGATATTGTTAATGCTTTTTGAAAATGGAACACCTAAGAGCCGTTCATCGCGAAGTCTCAGAAGAAGAGGGGCTTTGCACCTGGAGGCTGAGGATATTGTTGATGCTGTCGGGGATGACTCCGCTGAGCGCGTTCCGCCCGAGGTCGAGAAACGTCAGCGTCGCGATCTGATTGATCTCCACGGGAATCTCGCCTGCAAGGCCCAGGCCGTTCAAATGCAGCGCGACTGGCTGGTGATGCCCGTCGCACGTGACTCCCTGCGCGGAATAGAGTGATTGTATTGAAGAGCAGACGACACTATCGAGAATACAGCGTTTCACAATGCGGTGGAATTCGGTGCAGGTGGGTGTTAACAGAGACGGTGGATTGTAGATGACAGCAGCCAATGCAATAGGTACATTCAATATCGACAGTTTCCATGCAATGACAGCCGGCAACTTGCTTCCACGAAGCTTGACGCACTTGGAAGGGAGGGCTTCCGCAAGGGTCGCCATTGGTCCGCCATGAGCTGAGTTTTTGCGCGCCGGGGTCCAGCTTCGCCGCTATGCTGCTCCAATCCGTCGCGACGGCGCGCGTTACTAACCCCAATGCGACTAACGCGAGCAAGTACGAGTATACTTCTTTCTGCATCCCTATTCTAAGTTTCAACGGTCCGATTTCTGTCATTGTGAAGCTGCAACGCCTTCGATAGAGATGGAGAAATAAGTAGTTCTGGAAAAACAAACCCTCGGTCTATTGATTGCAAGAGGGAAGGAGAAAGGCCTCCTCCAGCATCTATGCTTCGTCCACTAAGCCATGGCGATGCAGTTAACGACTTCTAGGAACGAATGAAGACCTCACGTGCTAGAGAATCAAGCTTCCTAGTACAGGGGGCTCTGCTCCAGTATATTTCACGGTTTCCTCCACTAATCTTCACGGCAGCACAAGGGAGCATTCCATGTATCTGCTCCTCGCCCACTTGCACCACTCAACTTGTCCGTCTGTATACCAGCGCCCAGTAAATTATTCGCTAGTCCTCCACCTACCCCTTCCTTCCCCTGCACCCAGAAATGGTCTTCAAACGCCTGTATGTAATCGGTCAATTCCTGCTGGAGAATGCATATATGAAGCCATGACCAGCGGCGTCTATGGGATGATGGGATTGACGACTTCCGTTGGTTCCTCGTAGTCGCGATAAAACCGAGAACGTCAGGGGCGGCGGTGACGGGTATGACTTACTGCTCTGGCAACTGCTGATTGGGTTATCCAGCGCAAAGAAGGGGGCAGTTAGGGGCAAATACAGGGTTTTAATGCGGTTCGGTCTGGTGCTAGCAAAGGCTGTGCTTTGCGGCGATCAGCTTCCAACAACTCCCAGTCGATGGCCAGACAGGGAGGCCCGTTGGGGTCACGGAGAAATGGGAAAAATTACTCCGAATCGCACATGTCTAGAAGAGACATCCCCGTCGCAGGATGTCAACGAGGCTCGCCAGATGCTGTGGTTTCTTCGTCAACAGGCAGCGCGGCTATTGCGAAAGCTGACTGTCAAAGCGCTTGTGGCAGAGGGGGCCAAATAATCGGGGGCGGGGGAAATGTCCCGCACAATGAAATCAAGGTAAGGACAGACAGGTCTGCGATTCGGAGAGTTGCCGTTGAGTATCCTTTATAAGGCCCATCGAGAGTATTGCACACCCATCCAGTTTCTGCCAGCTACTCCAGATCTCCAATATCAGTACGATTTCAGCAATGGGCTTTGTAAATAAAATAATAAATATATGAAACCATAAAGTAATTTCAGATATTATATAAATTTATTTCTATTTATTAAATGGAGATTTCACACGGATAGATACTGCATAGGTATAGGACATACGAAATGCTTCTAGAGAATAAAGAACCTGACTTTAACGATTTGCATATCGACTCATTCAACAACACTGGAGCAGTTCCTCAACCCCTAGCGCCTCCACGGCACAGCTCCTACCCTCAAAAAGCATGGACTGGTAGTCGAAAATTCATCATCACATCTAAAGTGCCGTCGCCATTGTTGCTTCTTGAGTCCTGACAACCATTTCACAACATGCCGCTCCCGCTGCAGCAGCATGAACGGCAGCAGCGCGCCGCGGAGCAGGTTTTAGACCGGCGATTAAGACCAGTGTACGACATGGTTGACTCGCGGAACCTGAAAGGCGCATTGAAGCTCGTTAATACTCTTGTTCAGAAAGCGGGAAATGACCAGGCTCCGATTAAGGTGCGCTTCTATTAGTTACCAGATTCAGGTTACTTATACTAATGTAACGATAGTACCGTGCGACTTTAAGCGCATGCTACCAGTTGGCGTCGTTACTTGTGCAGTGTGGTAGGAAGTAGCGACGCGGGACAGCCTGCCAGGCTCGCTGTAGAGCTGTAGAGTGTGCCGTACAGCCGTGAAACTGCTACTGTGCGTGTGCTACCAGGCTTGATCTGAAGCGCAACGGCTCCCACAGCTATGAGTGAATCCTTGACGGACGCTGTTTGCGGTGATAGCAACGCTTCGCCGATCCCATAGAAGAGCGCATTAGCGTTGTCGGGATTGCTTTCCCTTGCCAGACGGCTGCATTGGGCGTTTGATCGGCTTGGATGTGCGGAATGCGGTGCTTGTAATAGCGGGTAGTCATTGTTCCGGATCTTGAGCAAACCGGTAGTTGTTCCGAAGAAGATTAGGGTTCCTTGGAATACCGAGTGCTGTTTTTTCGAGATAAAGGCGTGGAAGAGGAAGGCAAAGGTTGGTCAACCTGAGATTCAGATGCTAAACCCGAAACCTCTAACTCTTTTTCGTCTCCCCCTCGCTTCCATCCTCCGTCCCCTTCCCCTCTATCCTCCCCAAACCTAAATTCCCCCCGCCCCTCCCTCCTTCCGACTCTGTCCCCCATTCCCAACACCCGCCTCCACTGCCTGCGCCTTTCTCCCCCCCCTCTTTTCCCTCACTCCCCCGGGCAGCTGGTGAAGGCGCTGGTGCTGTACCGCATGGGGCGGGAGGGGGAGGCGCTGGAGGTTTGCGGGGAGGTGCGGGAGGAGGGGCGCGCGGGGCAGCTCTCGGAGCGCACGCTCATGGACCTCATGGATCTCCTGGCCAGAATGGGCAAAGGTGGGCGGCATGCTCTGTCGTTTAGTTGAAACAGGAGGGGCAGGAGCTTCTGGTTGGGGCCAAGGGGAGTGGTGGAAACCTGTTTCGTAGGCGCGCATCTCTTTCCCCTCTGTGTCCCAAATCCCCACAACACCAACACTCCAACCCACCCTGCCCTTCCATCTCAGCCCACGCGGCAATAGAGGCGTTTGAAGTGGCAGCAGCACAGCAGGCGGGCAACTTGAAAGTGCAGGGGGGGGGTGATGAAGGGACCCTCCCGTCCGTCTATCCACCCGCTCCTCGCTCTCCCCTCTCCCCCCACCCTCTATCGCAGCCCACGAGGCAGTGGAGGCGTTTGAAGCAGCGGCAGCGCAGCAGGCGGACAATACCAAGCTGCAAGAGCTGCTGATGGGGGCGGCACTTCAAAGTCTCACTGACCTTGTATCCCCCCTTCTGAATCCCACCCCCTCTCAGCCCACGAGGCAGTAGACGCGTTTGAGGCGGCAGCAGCGCAGCAGGCGGAGAACATGAAGCTGCAGGAGCTGCTGGTGGGGGCGGCACTGAAGAGCCGCGGCTACGTGAAGATGCAGCAGGCCGCCATGCGCATGCACAAGAAGAGACCCAAAGACGACAGGTTCCTCCTCTGGGCCGTCTGTAGCATGGACCTGCAGGTGCGTGCATGACTATGGCTGTAGCATGGACCTGCAGGTGCGTGCATGACTATGGCTGTAGCATGGACCTGCAGGTGCGTGCATGACTATGGCTGTAGCATGGACCTGCAGGTGCGTGCATGACTATGGCTGTAGCATGGACCTGCAGGTGCGTGCATGACTATGGCTGTAGCATGGACCTGCAGGTGCGTGCATGACTATGGCTGTAGCATGGACCTGCAGGTGCGTGCATGACTATGGCTGTAGCATGGACCTGCAGGTGCGTGCATGACTATGGCTGTAGCATGGACCTGCAGGTGCGTGCATGACTATGGCTGTAGCATGGACCTGCAGGTGCGTGCATGACTATGGCTGTAGCATGCCTGTGGCTGTCACACAGACCTGAAGAGCCGTGGCTATTGGAAGATGCAGCAGCGCCATGCGGATGCGCAAGAAGAGGCCGCAGGATGACAATGCCTCCTGTGGGCCGTCTGTAGCATGGACGTGCAGGTGGGTCTCTGTCCTGGCTGCAGCACGCTGCCATGCGCCTGCACAAGAAGAGGTTACACGATGCACCCCCTTCATGGTGATGCAGGTGCAGGTGATGCAGGTGCAGGTGATGCAGGTAGCATGAACCTGCAGGTCCAGGTAATGCAGGTGATTCAGGTGAGGTGCCATGTCCTCTTTTCTCCGCTCGCCTGTTTCCTCTCTCCATCGCCCCACCGTCTCCCTCCATGTCCTCTTTTCGTTCGCTTCCTCTCTCTCTTTCCCAAACCTTCCTCCCCACCTTTATCTCCCACTACACTCTCTCAGTCCATCCCTCTCTGCCCTCCACCCAATCTCCCCTCACCGCTTTTTCTCCTCCCAACTTTCTCTTTCCCCTCCCAACCTTCACTTTCCCCTCATCCCTTTTTCTTCCCACTCACTGGCATCTCACGCCCCTTTAGGCATTCGAGAAGGAAAATCACGCAGTCTGCCACCTTCCGCCGTCCGTCTCCTCCTTCCACCTGCCAGCTCCTGCTGCCGCCACGTCAGCACCGGGTGCCACATCAGCACCGCCCACACCCGCATCAGCAGCTGACGTGGCAAAGCAGCGGCGGCAGCTGCTCCAGCTGGCAGAGGCGATGGTCCAGAGAAAGGCACAGAGCGAGGGCGGGTTGAAATCGGCTGAAGGTGAGATGCGGACCTTGGGGGGCACCTTGGGGGGCAAGGCTTGGGGGGCGCAGACTTTGGGGCGGACCTTGGGGCGGACCTTGGGTTATGTGACATATTGACTCACGCGGTTGACATTTTGAGGCGCACCTCAAAGCATGCTGCACGAGCACGGTCATGTGGCCGCTGCTGTAGCTGGTAACCTATCCTGCTACAGCTGGCAAGATCCATGATTGATGTGGACGCACACCCAGAGGACGGCACTGCTTCTCCCTCCTCCCCCTCTCCCTCCCCCCCGTTCTCCCTCCTCACGCTTCTCCCTCCTCCCCTTTCTCCCTCCTCCCCTTTCACCCTCCCCCTCCTTCTCTCCCCTCCCCCTTCCCCCTTTTCCCCCTTCTCTCTCCTTCCCCGTCTCGTCCGTCTCGTTCCTCCCGCTCCTCCCCTGCACTTCGCCTGTATGTAGACCTGTTAAAGGGCAGGGCAAGGGGGAGGAGGTGGTGCGGATGGTAGCAAGGGCAGGCGGGGTGAGGCACTGAGGCGTCTCAAATCCAGATGTGCCCCTTCTCTCTCCTCCCCCTCCCCCTCCTCCTCCACACAACCCCCCCCCCCCCAACCCCCTCCCCTCAGCACTTCGCCTGTACGTGGACCTGTTGAGGCGGCAGGGCAAAGGGGAGGAGGTGGTGAGAGTGCTGCAAGGGCCCATGGCCGCCCTCTTCACAATCAAATCAGATCTGCTGCAGATCCGGGTGGGTGCTGATTAGTCGGCGTATATGAGTGCCTGTATGGGTGGGTGGTTGCTGTGTGTGCCTCACTGATCAGTGGGACATGCCTAGTACTTAGAGCACATGGTTTCTCAGTCCACTCGAAAATCGTGTGGTTTTTCTGTCTGCCTTACTGGTCTGTGGGGCATGTCTGACACGCACAGCACATGCACGCATGCTTATAACGAGTATACTCTTTCTTTGGGCCTCTCAAAAGCCAGTGCATCCATGCTTTTGTTAAGTATACGTGTGAGTCGTGTCAAATGTTGCTCTGCCTGCCTCAGCGGTTGGTGGGACATGACTTGGAATCGGAACTGACATTGCATAGTTTCATGTAGAGTATAGGAGACTTCAGGTTTTCCACTCTGCTGTAGTTTGTTCATCGGTTTTAACCACCTCACACCCATGCACATCCACCTGCACCCACTCACCCACCCAGCCTGCACACGCGATCACACCCACCCTCACCCCACATCCCCCCCCTACACTCAACATCTCCCCCACACTCACTCACGTCTCTCTCACTCACGTCTCACTCACTCACGTCTCACTCACTCCCATCTCACTCACTCACTCACGTCTCACTCACGCACCCCACACTTACACATGCGGTGTGACCGGACCCACGGTCCACAGGGCGAGGTGCAGCAGGACTTGGCGCGCTTCACTGATGCTGCTGCCACCTTCAAGGACCTGCTGGGCGTGAGGTGAGCGGGTGAGGGAGGTGCGGTGAGCAACAAGTGAGGTGAGCGGGTGGGGGAGGTGTGGTGAGCAACGAGTGAGGTGAGCGGGTGGGGGAGGTGCGGTGAGCAACGAGTGAGGTGAGCGGGTGAGGGAGGTGCGGTGAGCAACGAGTGAGGTGAGCGGGTGGGGGAGGTGCGGTGAGCAACGAGTGAGGTGAGCGGGTGAGGGAGGTGCGGTGAGCAACGAGTGAGGTGAGCGGGTGGGGGAGTGAGTGAGCAAGTGAGGGAGTGAGGTGAGAAAGCGAGCGAGGTGAGAGGTTGAGGTGAGCAGGTGAGGGAGTGAGGTGAGAAAGTGAGGGAGTGAGGTGAGAAAGTGAGAGTGTGAGGTGAGCTCCGGTCTTTGCACCCCTGCGTACTGTTTCACAATCATCTTCACTCCTCTGTGTCTGTTGCTGCCCATGCATGCAGTGATGACGACTGGGTGGCATCCTTGTCCTATCTGGATTCGCTAATGCTAGCCCACCTACAGTCATCCCTCTCCACTCCTCTCAGCGAGGCTGTAGCAGCAGTCACTGCTGACGCTGCTACAGCTGCTTCTGCTGCTGGTACAGCCCCTGCCACAGCTGCTACAGCTGGTAACAAACCCGCTGCTGCTACCTCAGGAGGAGGTTTGGGAGGAGGTTCGGCGGAGGGTGGGAGGGAGTGGGCCACAAGGGAGAGCCGGCTGATGCAGGGCCTGTTGCTGCGGATGCTGCAGGGGGGAGGGACTTGGGGGGAGGGGGGAAGGGGCGGAGGAGGGGGGGATGGTGGTGGGGGGGGTGAGGGAGGGGTGGAGGGGGGTGAGTGGGAGAGTGTGTGTGCGGTGGGCGCGGCAGCAACGGCCCTGGATGTGGCGAGCAGGGCGCCGCAGAAGAAGAAGATTCAAGAGGAGGTGAGGGAACGATTGGCATTGTGAGGGGTATGGGGCATGGAGTATGGGGAATGATGGGGCATGTGTTATGGGCATGGGCATGGGCATGGGCATGGGTTATGGGTCATGGGGCATGGGGAATGGGGCATGGGGAAGGGGGTATGGGGCATGGGGAAGGGGGGGTATGGGGCATGGGGAAGGGGGTATGGGACATGGGGCATGGGGCATGTGGCGTGGGGCGTGGGGCATGGGGCGTGGGGCATGGGGCGTGGGGCGTGGGGCATGGGGGGGTATGGATTATGGGGAGTGGGGCACATGGTTTTTAGGTGGTTGAGTGCACCTTCCAAGAGCGAGCACCTTCCCAGAGCGAGCACCTTCCCAGAGCGAGCACCTCCCCAGAGCGAGCACCTCTATCTGTGTCTCTATCTCTCTGGAGCTTCCCTCTTCTTCCAATCCCCCTCATTTTCCTCGCCCAGCCTTCTCCTCCCCCCACCTTCTCCTTGCCCCACTTTATCCTCGCCCCTCCTCCTCCCCCCTCCTTCTCCTTGCCCCACCTTCTCCTCCACCTACCTTCTCCTTCCCCCACTTTCTCAACCCCCAGCGGTGGCCCTGTGTACGTCGGGCAGAGTGCTTCAGTCGGGCAGAGTGCTTCAGTCGGGCAGAGTGCTTCAGTCGGGCAGAGTGCTTCAGTCGGGCAGAGTGCTCCAGTCGGGCAGAGTGCTCCAATCAGGCAGAGTGCTCCAATCAGGCAGAGTGCTCTTGTCGGGCAGAATATATGGGAGGTTGGCGACATAAACTCGATGCCCAGACTGGAGCACTCTGCTTGACTGAAGACTCTGCTCAACTGGAGCAGTCTGCTCAACTGGAGCAGTCTGCCCAACTGGAGCAGTCTGCCCGACTGGAGCAGTCTGCCCAACTGGATCACTCTGCCCGGCGTGCTCAGGGGCAAGCGGCCTGTTAACCTGCTCCCGCCCTCCCCCACCTCCTAACACTCTCACTGTCTGCACCTCGTGACTCGTCATCCTTGTTTATCCCCCCTCCACACGCCACCCCTCCCACCAGCTCCTCCGGATCCTCTCCCGCCCAAGCAATCTCCGTGTTTCACCGTCTATGTATGCAATACCTCCCCCTCCACCAGCTCTTCAAGATTCTCTCTGAAGCGGATCGATTCTTCCAGGGCCTCAGGGACAGCCTCTTGGCACAGCACTCAGCGCACCAGCGTCTCTCGGGCAGCGGGCAGCCGGAAATGAAAAAAGTGGAGGAGGGCAGCGAGCAGGACGGGGCCCAAGGAGCAGAGGCAGGGGCAGAGGATCCTAGTAAGGCAAGCAGCGCCAGTAGCAGTGATGCATCAGCTGTGGAAGCAGCAGCGAGCAGCAGCAAGGGTGCGCGCGTGGCGAGGGGACCGTTTCTGATGCGCCTGGAGGTGCTGCTGAGGCGCATGCGCCTGCTGCAGTGGTTCGGGTGCAGCCCAGGGGAGGTGCTATCTGCTGCTGCCGACCTGGAGAGCGCCCTGCTGGGCTACTTTGACAGGTGCCTACCTGGGGAGGTGTTATCTGCTTCACTCTCTCATTCTCACTCTCATTCTCTCAAAAAACCTCTCATCCTCCTATCTGTGGTGCCTCAAAAGTCCTCCCAATGTTTATTTTGCCCGATCATTACCTACTCATCATCACTTCTCTCCGCCCTCCTTCCCACCCTCCCTCTCTTCCCCCAACCCTCTCTCTCAGGCATGGCGACATGATCAGCTTTGCCTCGGACGTCCAAGCCTACGCCCTGGCCCTGCCCACGGATGTCCGGGCCAGGCTTGGGGCCGAGCTCCGAAGCAAGCTGACAGGCTTGGAACCCCTAGGGGGAGAGGGAGGAGTCGGAACTGGAGAGAGCAGGGAGGAGCAGAGGGAGGGGTCAGGGAAGGAGGGGAGGAGTGAGGAGGGGGAGAAAGAGGGAAAGGAGGTGGGTGAGAGTGAGAGTGAGAGGAGGGAGGGGGAGGGGATGAGGGAGATGAGGAGGAGGCTGCGGAGGATAATAAGTGTGGAGCAGGTGGATGGGTCCATGGGTAACTGGCGGGCCCTGGATGACCGTGGTGAGTGCGTGCATGAGAGGTACGGATACATCTCATTTTCTTGTTGAGTCAGCTCTTTGGGGCCTCTCTGTCCCCCATCCCCATCCCCATCCCATCCCCATCCCCATCCCCATCCCCATCCCCATCCCCATCCCCATCCCCATCCCATCCCCATCCCCATCCCCATCCCCATCCCCATCCCCATCCCCATCCCCATCCTCATCCCCATCCGCTCAATCCCCTTTCCCATCCCGTCCCCATCCCCATCCCCATCCTCATCCCCATCCCATCACCATATCAACCCCCCTCCCAATACCCAACCCCGTTCCTTAGTCCCCATCCCCATTCCTTCACTCTCCTTCCCCATTCCTATCACCTCAATTTCCTTTCTCAACAGTCCTCTCAATCCCCTCCCCCATCCCCACCCCCTCATCACCCAACCCTGCCCTTCCATCTCCACCAGCCCTCATCTCCCGCGCACAGCACTGCGTCCGCCTCTTCCTGGAAGCTTCCCCGCTCTCTGCCGCTCTGGACCCCCGGGAGAAGGGGCATGCGGACGAGCTGCTGCCCGTTTCTGCCTCCTGCCTCGTGGAGGTGAGTCGTTGAGTGCGGTGGAGTGTGGTGCGGTATGGTGTAGTGTTATGCAAAGTGGTTCAATACAGTGGAATCTGGTGCGGTGCATGCATCTGGTCTCTGCTGGCATGCTCTGACTTTTGAGGCGCCTCAAAAGTCATCTGGTCTCTGCTGGCATGCTCTGGCCTGGTCCCTCAGGAGAAGGACGACCTGCTGCCCAATGCTGCTTCGTCCCCTGGTACAGTTGAGCACTGCAGTGCGATGCAGTGTGATACAATATGGTGCAGTATTCCAATGCGCCCCTCCTGCAGATATACCACCGACATCAGGCAGAGGGCGTGGTTGGCTGATTGAGCCAGTGTGGGTCCTCAAAGGGAGACCACCCACGGTTGAGGCGCTCTCCCTCCGCCCCTACGGTCTCACTCTCACATCTTCCCCCGTTGCCTTTCCCCCTCATCGCAGGTGTACCGGCGGCGCCAGCCAGAGGGCGTGGGCTATCTCATAGAGGCAATCCTGGTGCTCACCTACGGTGCCTCCCTCCGCCCGTACGTTGCTCTCTTACATTTTCTTGAGATGCTTTTACGTGATATGACTTTTGAGGCGCCTCAAAACCCATACGATGCTCTGTTACAGTTTTCAGTGTTTGTGTGCTGTATGGCATTCCTTGCCTTGGACCCAGTTGACTCGTTCGCTGTGTTCTTCCCCCATCCATTATTGTTAACTCTTGAAATGAGTGCAGTATTGTGACTCGTCAAAGTGCCACCATAGCACAATGCTGCCACCATAGCACAATGCTGCCACCATAGCACAATGCTGCACTGCTAACCACAATGCTGCACTGCTAACCACAATGCTGCACTGCTAACCACAATGCTGCACTGCTAACCACAATGCTGCACTGCTAACCACAATGCTGCACTGCTAACCACAATGCTGCACTGCTAACCACAATGCTGCACTGCTAACCACAATGCTGCACTGCTAACCACAATGCTGCACTGCTAACCACGTTGTATCTCGTAGACCGTAACCATCCCTCACCCTCCCCACCACTGCAAAATTCAAATTTCCCACAATAAGTTTTTTCTCGACCACTCTCCCCTTCCCTTCCCTTTTCCCCTTGTTTCCTCTCTGCAGCTTCAGTCCGCTGTTCAACACCATGCTCGTGAGCCTCTATGGCCTGCTGGGCTGCCCCTCGCTTGCCCTCGCCAGGTAATTGCCATCTGTAACCACATCCGGTAACCACATCTGGTAACTACATCTGGTAACCACATCTGGTAACCACATCCTTCCTGTGTTACAAACAGCACCTGCTGCTCGTCAGCTGTGGTGGTCGTATGCTCACCACCATGCTCGTTAACCCCTTGGCCATAACCACTTTCCGGCATCGGAACAAGTATCCAAATGTGTCCCCCTTGCTTCCCGCATCTCGCTCATGCCTCCCATCCATTCCCACCACCAGCTTCCACCAGCTGAACGGAAAGCACATACAGCTGGACACGCTCAGTCACCTCATCTGTTCTTACTCCCCCTCTCTTCTTCCCCGTATTCCACCAGCTTCCAGCGTTTGAGCGCCAAGCACATACAGCTGGACACGCTCACGCACCTCGTGCTGCCGTACCTGCACCAATCGGCATCGCTTGCTGACGTCAGCGCGCTGCATGCTGACATGCGTGCTTTTTTCAACGACCACGTGTGGCGGGACAACGCTGACGTCAGCATGGAGGCTCTCAGGCGTGGCACGTTTTCAAAGGTGATGAACCCATGAATGCTTTCGTTAATGATTGCATTGCAGGGTGCAATTCTTGTTGCTGTGATGATTTCTGCGATGCTTGCAGCAACCCGTGCGAGTGAATCAGCGGAAAGCTGCAGCAATGCCTTCACCTGCAGCAATGCTTTCACCTGCAGCAGTGCTTTCACCTGCAGCAATGCTTTCACCTGCAGCAATGCTTTCACCTGCAGCAATGCTTTCACCTGCAGCAGTGCTTTCACCTGCAGCAATGCTTTCACCTGCAGCAATGCTTTCACCTGCAGCAGTGCTTTCACCTGCAAATCCTCTCCACTATCCCCCTCCCCCATTCCTCCTCCGCCCTGTCCTCCCCATGTCAGGTCCGTGAGTCCGCTGCCTTTCACCATCGCGTGCAGCACTCCCACCAACGCCTCCTCGTATCTTAATCATGTCCCCGCCACCCTCTTCCCCCTTCCGCCTTCCCATTCGCCCTCCATCCTTCGCCCTCCATCCTTCTCCCTATGATTCGCCCTCCATCCTTCTCCCTATGATTCGCCCTCCATCCTTCTCCCTATGATTCTCCCTCCCGTGTCAGGCTTTTGAGGCGCCTCAAAAGTTCTCCCTATGATTCTCCCTCCCGTGTCAGGTCCGTGAGTTTGCAGCTTTCCACAATCGCCTGCAGCACTTTCACTAGCACCTCCTCCTATTCATATTGTATTCCCACCACCCCCTTCCCCAATCTCCCCTCCCCCTGTCCTCCTTCCCCCGTGGCAGATCCGTGAGTTTGCAGCTTTCCACCATCGCCTAAATCACTCACACCAGCGCCTCCTCCTCTCGCCCAACTCCCTCCTCCTCTCCCTCCCCCTCGCCCTCCTGCCCCCCTCCTCCCACCCCTCGGCCCTCACCTCATCCCCCCAACCCAATCAATCCGCTTCGGCAGCTCCGAACCAAACCGCTGCTTCCGAACCTGTGGCGCAGGTTCGGGAGGTGCTGCGGGCAGCAGGGGGCGGGCGGGAGGAGGTTCGGCAGGTAGTTGCGGAGCAGCTGGGTCTGGTTAGGTTGAACGAGGACTGGGGTGTGCGGCCGTGGTGGGACCCCTTGCCTCTTCCTTTCACTGGACTCCTGGGACTCTTTGGAAAAGGTATTTCCTTGCCCTTATATCCCCCATTCGTTTTGTTTAGTCTCAAAAAACGAATATCCTCCATTCGTTTTTTTTTTAATCTCGAAAAACGAATATCCTCCATTTTACCCTGTCTTCCATTCGACCCTGTCTTCCATTCTACCGACCCGTCTCCCGCCTGGAGCCGGGGCATCCTTTTATGTGACTGATAATATATTTTAGCCTTTTGAGACGTCTCACTGATAATATGTTTTAGCCGCCTAAAAAATAGCACTTCGGCATGCGGCCATGCTGGGGCCCTCTGCCTGCCTCTGCTCTTGTAGTGGTCTGCTTGCGGCGTGTGGAAGGGGTACCATGTGGTGTTGTGAAGAATTGTATTACTGGTGAAGGCGAATGCAGCCCTGGTGGGACCCATCCCTTTGCGCTTCCTCAGACCCTTCCCATTCTCTCACTCACTCTCCTCCTTGTCCCCATCTGCAGGCCAATCACCACCCGACAGCTGGACCAGCCTCGAATCGCCACACAAGGTGAATGAACAGCCATATTCGGAAACACAGGAAACAGCCCTCCTTTTGAGTTGATTCCAGTCAGTCACGAAAATCCCATTTCTAGATTCTAAAAATAGGTTGAAATACTATCTTCAGGCTCCCCGCGAATTTTTTTGCCATTCCTTCTTGCACGTTTCACCACGTTTGTTCCTTTTCACTTTCTTATCTCCTCACACCACCAGCAACAATCTCGCGAGTCTCTGTTGCTACAGCATGCGCAGGCCAGAGGCCTCCTCCCCTACCTCTTCTTCCTCTCCCGCCCCCCCCCCCCCCCCCACTCGTCCCACCACTTGTCCTCTCACTTGTCTTGTCTTGCCCGCATTTTATCTCCCCATCTTTCCTTTCCCACTCTCGCTTCTCCCCGCACCACCAGCAACAATCCCGCGAGTCGCTGTTGCTACAGCACGCGCAGTCCAGAGGCCTCCTCCCCCGCCTGCTCTTCCTCTCCCTCTCCTCCCCCTCCCACCTCTTCCCACCTCAAGGGCCGAAAGGGGAGGTGGGAGCTGGGGTAGGTGCAGCTGCGGGGGGAAAAGGAGGGGAGGGCGCGGGGGGGAAGGGGAAAGGGGGGAAGGGGAAGGGGGGGAAGAGTGAAGGAGGGAAGGGGAAAGGGAGTGGAGGGGGGAAAGAAGGGAGCGGTAGTGGGAGCAAGGCCGAAGAAGGAACAAAGGCAATGAGTTTAGTGGGAGCCTCAGGGGGTGGAGAGGATTTTGAGGCGGTGCAAGGGGAGTGGGAAGCGGTGCTGCGGCAATACTGCCGGTTGAGTGCGGTTGGGGAGGAGGAGATGGAGCGGATGGCGGAGGAGGGAGTGGTTGACTCCGCCCTGGTGAGTGGCTGGGGATGAGAGAAGCAAACAGGAGCCACTTGTTGCACAAGAGCAACAAGAGCCAGGCGCCTTGTGGGGGAAAGACGAGCCCATGTTTGCTTTTGAGTCGACTCAAAAGCATGTTTGTACGCGTCTTTGACTTGTGAGGCGTCTCGGAAGCACCCATCGTAATGCGATGCACGTCTTTGCAGCGCTGCCTGTCCGTGGGAAGGGAGCCACGTGGATGGCTCTACTGCTCCTTTTGAAGTGACTCAAGAGTCGCCTTTGCAGCCCTGCCTGTGGTGGCAATTAAATGTCTTTACTGCACCGCAGCTGTTGCTTCACATTGCTCATTTTCAACCTCCCCTTCACGGCACCCCCCTCTCCCCATCCCCCTTCTCCCCAGCAGCAGCCAAAGTCTCAAAACACCTCAGAAATAGTTTTCTCCCAATCCTTTTCCTCCCCATTCCCCCCCAGCAGCAGCAGGACCTGCCATCTCTGCTAGCCCGGCTGCTCTGTCTGCTCTTCACCGCCTCGCTCTCACTGCACCGCCTCCAATCCCCCACCACCGCTGCCACTACCAACACCAGCGCCACCACCAGCACCACTACTAACGACAGTGCACCCACAGCTGCTGCTGCTGTGAGTGCCAAGAGGGCGGTGGGACTGGTGCAGGCTGTATCTGCAGCTCTGGCCGCCATACTTCAGCTGCTGCACAAGGAATGCGTGCTGCCAGCAGCTTCCACCGAAGCTTCTGCAGAAGCTTCCCAGAAGCACCTTCCGCCTCTGGTGGTTTCTGGGAAGCTGCTGTCATGCGCTTTGGGATTGTTTATTGGTGAGTCTGCCTTTTGGTTGTCGATTATCATATCCCACTGGCACTCTACAGCACAGAGCCAACCACCTGTTGGGAAGAAGACAAAAAAGACCGCCCAGGATGCGGCCCAGCAAAGCCTGCCGGACGAGGTGGTTCGGGCAGTCAAAGCTGCCCAGGAGTTGGCTCAGGCAGGACTACAATCCCTGCGAAAGGCCTTGTCCGGTCAGATTAGCGGTAAGGGTCGTCTGCCCGATAATGACATGGCTTTTGCTCTTATCGAGTTGCTCCCTGGCGTGAACAGTAGTGTAGCTGTAGATGATCAAAGGACGGTAGCAGGGAGAGTGGTTGGCGATCTATGCAAGGTGAAAGAAGGGTTGAAGGGAGGAGCATCGGGCCAGCAGGATGCAAGCATCACTTCAACGGAAGGCAGAAGAGACAAGGAAAATGGACTGCAAAGAGATAGCGATGGTGATTCTGGAGAAGGTGGTAGTGGTGTGGATGTGGCGTCTGGTGATTGGAGCATCAGCTCTGCTGCTGAGAGGGTGCTGTGGAGCCATCGACGGTTCATTCAGCAACTCGTTGCCTTGCTAGATTGCCAGATTAGCATCCTAGGTTCCACTTAGGCAGTACACGGAAGGGTTTAAATGCTGGAGATTTTGACAGGGCACTAGTTCCTGAGATGTAGGTAGTTTTCGCCCACATATATGGCTGTGATTCGAATGAAGACTGAGCTCTATTTAAATCAGCGAACCCACGCAGGTGTGCTTATAGTGGGTACGATTGTTTCGAGTTGAGACGCGATTCTGCGCCAATTTCGCCCTCCCATTTTGTTTCGCATTTTTCGATTGTGTGGCTCTCGTCGCCCCTGTGTCAGTCCCATTTTCGATTCGCGAATCCTCATTCGCGAAGCGATACGTACCTTCGCGGACTTGCGATTTGGTGGGTGTGGTGGGTGGGTGTTGCTCCTTGCTTGATTCATATTGCCAACCGCATTCATGGGACACAAATTTACTACAAGGCGTGGTTTGATATGTGCTCCTCTCATGGCTGAAACACAGGAGTGGGTAGCATGGGCCCATCACATGATATCATGTGCATAGATACTGCCCCATCTAGCTCAAATAAAGCTGAGCAATACGGCCTCCTACGGTTTTTATCAGTGGGAGAAAGCGGGCCCTATACTGCCGAACCTCTTGCAGTTAATCGCCGATGCCTGTGTCAGAAGCGGGTAGCTAACCGAGGCTTCGAGCGTCAGGATACAGCCTGAGCCGAGGCGAAGGCAATGGTGACAGCGCACGAAGCGAGCGATAAGAGCAGTGCGACAGCACACGAAGCGAGCGACAAGTGCAATGCGACAGCGCACGAAGCGAGCGACAAGTGCAGTGCGACAGCGCACGAAGCGAGCGACAAGCGTAGTGCGACAGCGCACGAAGCGAGCGACAAGCGTATTGCGACAGCGCACGAAGCGAGCGATACAGGCAGTGTGACAGCAAGTGCTTCGAGCAGGAGGAGCACCGAAGTAGTGCTAATACAGCCGCAATCTCTCAACACGACCTGCTACGTGGCTGCTCCCATTACGCCAATCGTCGCAATCCTCGCAATCCTTGCCACGTGCAGCGCGCTGGTCCTCTCGAGCCATCATCTCACCCCGCGGAACGGCTGGTTTGTTCCGGCTTCCCGTCGTGATCATGTGATAGCTCGCGCATTCCGAAAGATAGAATCACGCGCTTACACCGGTGATGGCGGTGATAGCGGAGCTGCTGATCGGAGAGAGCGGGTGATGCGGGAAGAAGGAGGCTGGTTCGAAGAAGCGACGAGGCGATTGGTCAAGGAGCGACGGGTACTACTCGGGGTTTCCAGCCTGTTGAGTGTGAGGCTGACATGGTGGAAACAGCGTCGGGCGAGTGAGCAGCAACAGAAGCAGACCCAGCAAGCGCAGGACCAGGCGAGGACGCGCAGGAAGCAGGATAAGCAAAGACGGCGGGCGTTGAAGCAACGCGCCCGTGCATCCAGAGGGGCTTCAAAATCAGCAACTACCGGAGTAGAGTTCATAGACAGACTAGCTGATACGTTGCCAATTCCCAAGGAGCCGAAGGTGACCGTTGGCGAAATCGTGGTGCAGGCGTTACAGCTGCGGATACATGGTAACCCGCTGGATCCCCAGAAGCTGGCGCTGTACATGAGTGCAAGGATGAACGCGTCGGGAAGCATGCTCAACCCTAACGCGTATACGATGCTCGCTGATACCATTTGGATGAACGCGAAGTACAAAGGAAGACGTGTGGGGAACACAAAGGTGACACACACACACACACACACATACACACACACACACACACATACACACACACACACACACACACACGCACGCACACAGTCGCACACCCCTTCCCCCTCTCGAACAACCCACACACTATATCCCAATTTCATGCTGTTTCCCTGGTCCACCGCTTCTCCTTTGTATCAATACCCCCCGGTCGACCGCACAATCCACCCCATATTGTGTTTGTTTCTAAATGCACCTCCGCCTTTTCCCTACTCCATTTATCCACTCTCCATTCCACACCATCATTTCACACCTCCCCCGCATCCCAGATTCACAATGTGCAAGTGAAGGGACGCACAAGTGCGCCGTTTGCTGTGCCCATGAAAGTTGTTGACTTCCCCATTGTGTCCAGCACCAGCTACAGTACACTCGTTGCCGTCATGAATCAGAAACTGCCCATAGATGTGAGTGCAGCCAGCAGATCATGTCCATGAAGTGTACTTTACGATTTCTAAATTAAATTGTTACGCTTGCATTGAGCAGTTGGACCTATGTGATGCTTGTTCAGTTCCTGGGCCATTTTGGGACTTAAGCCTCCCCCAAACACCCTTCCCCACCTCCTCCCCCCACTTCTCCTCTCGTCTTCGTCCCTCTGCCTGCCTTTCTTCGTTGCTCTCTCTCTTTCTTCCCATCCTGGCTGCTTTACTTCAGGTACTGATAACTACACTTGCCCGAATTCGTTACAATGGAGTGACCTCACCACAAGTCAAGGTAAGCAGTCTAAAATTCATGATTTGTTGTCACATATGACCAGAGCTGGCTGGTGAAATTTGTATTATTTCTGGAATTCCTCATGAGCTCTCGTGCATTATTGCTGCTTACTTATCAGGCATACGTGAGATGCAAGGCCATTGTGAACCCTCTCACCATCCAAGTAATCTCCCAAGTATGTGGGAGTTCAAGCATTGGCCTCTAATATTTAACCCCTGCAGTTAATGCAACACGTTATCTACCACCTATCATAGAGGGCACAGCCAGGTATTGCTGGTGCGAAATTGGCAGTGGCCAGCCATCAATATGTTCTGTTTAGTATGACGATTCCCTACCATATTTGACTAGGTTTATGATGTCAAGTCGTGCAACGTGGTATAGTGAAGGATTTATCAGAAGTCATAGTGTATATCGGAGCGCGAGTTCTGGCGCGAGTATGGCCATTTCAGCTCCCGCCAAATTGGTAGAACCCCATTCATAAATTGTAGCTCCCAAACCGCCAACACTCACTGAACGGACTTCTCAATCGATATTCTGCACAGAACTGCCAAATCCAACCGTTGGTTAGGAAAGACTTCGCCATGCTTACGTATGCAGACCGCGATGAACTCGTCCCTGCGAAACCAGGCTGCGCCACCCCGACGTGGTCGACTCTCTCCCCTCCAGAATCTCGTCTCGACTGGAAGGGAGCCAATTCCCAGGGCTAAGGTGCTCGGCTCGCAGTCGCACGCTATTCATTCCACCCCACCCCACCCACTCACCCATGCACTGCCGCACTCACGGACCGCGGTACCCACCCTGACGACCACCGCTGTCTGCTGGTTGGCCGCCACGACTTGGATCTTGTCGTCCGCGGTAAACCGATTAATCATCGTTCCTCCTGACCACCTGATGTTCCCTCACACTTGGACTTCGTGAGCCACGCCTCACGAGTCCTCCTTCCGAACGCTGTCGTCGAGTCGTCACGACTGACTGTGTGCTCGGTCAAATAATCAGTCAAGCCGACTATCGCTGTCAATCGCCGTACCGTGGGAGCACCAGCATACGGCACTCCTAACCCAGAAAGCCACTGACAGTCACCCGCCTGTTCACGCGCATACTGAGGTGCCTCGAAAGGTCGCAAGAGTAGCAAGAGTGATAATCACACTGTTATTCACCAGCTTTCCACCCCTTTCCAGACTCTCGCATTCTAATACTAACACCAGTACGCACGCATTACAGTGTAGAGTGAAGCAGCAGCAGTCTATCTCGCACTTCTTCCAAGCGCTTATGGCTGCTGCGCTCTTGAGGATGCTCCGCGCGTCGCCAGTGGCGCTTTTACTTCTGCTGTTACTCCAATGCTACCATTGCCACGTGGAAGCTCAAGGCGGGAAGTGCGACTTGAACGCAGGCTCGTGAGTCTCTTCTTCAGTCTAGAATCTTCAATCATGTGCATCTTCAGGCCAAAACCTCGCCCAATTTCCCTGCAATATTTGGCGTCCTCCGTTCGTGCGCACCTAATTCCCTACTCGGAAGTAATGCACCTGAAGACGAAATTCCTTCAATCCATGGTGTTTAGCCCGTTCCAGTGACCACCTCTCAAAACCGTTTTCCTAGCTGAAAATTTCATCTCCTACCCTTCGTCGTTACCATATACCTCAACTACGCATTGGCGAGGAGGGGAAAGAGTGAGCGGAAAGTCACTGCTGCTCTTTCCTCTGGCCAGGGCGAGCTAGTATTCGTATGATCAGCTGCTCGTCGCGACCAAATGGCGCACGACCCCGCATTGGCGAAGGAACTCACGAGTTTGACGAGCAGCACAGCCGCTCCCTCGCTCCGCCTCCTCCTCTGTCGCCGCACTCACTAGTCGCTCTCACCACTCACTTCTCATCTCTCGTCTCTCATCTTCCTCCATCATCCCTGCTCACCACTGCAGATGGGTGCGCAACCCGTCTCTCCCCAAGCGCTACAGGGGCTGCACCTGCAAGAGCACCGATGCCCCCCAGCCTCACTCCCTCGCGCTCTCACGTCATCTCTCACCTCTCGCTCTCACTTCCCTCTCACCACTGCAGATGGGTGCGCAACCCGTCTCTCCCAAAGCGCTACACAGGGTTGTCGTGCAAGAGCATCCGGTCGAGCCTCAACTGCCAGAAGAACGGCCGCAAGGACACGGCGTATCTCAACTACGAATTCAAAAGCCCCGGATGCAATATCCAGAGGTACGAACCAGTTTAGACTGCGCAATACCTTGAGTTTACAATGCACAGGACTACATCAGCTGCGAGTGGCGCAGGTGCAACAGTAAGAGATGCTTGGGAGCAGCGAAAAATATCCGTACAAAAGACGTACAAAGGCTTGGACGTGTACTGAAGGAACGTTAGTAGTGAGCACCACAAACAGGAACCTGACTGACGTGTTTCTCCCGCCAGAAGTGAGCGTTTTCTTTCCAATGGCTCTAAAGACATGCTTTCTACGCCCAAATTCCTGTCCGGCTCCTTCCCGCCCAGCTCCTCCCACTCCTCGTTGCCGTCACTTTCTACTCGCAGGAGCGACTCCCCCTGTCTTATCAACCCTCCATTAACCGCTCCCGTAACCCTGCTCCCGTGCAGGTTCGACCCGAAGGCGTTCCTGTCGATGATGCGCAACAAGGTGTTTCTGGGCGTGGGCGACTCGTTCAACCCGAACCTGCAGCACTCCGTGCGCTGCCTCGTCGAGAGCGTCGCCGCCACTAAGGACGTCAACGGCGCGCTCTTCAAGACGGGCCTCTCCGCGCAGGGCTACGTCGTGCCGCAGTACAACGCCACGTTCCTCACTATCGCGTCCAGCTTCCTGGTCGACGCAACCCCCGTGGTACGTACCGTGAGGTGTTGCCTGCGTGGACAGGCGGTTGTGTCTCCGCGCAGGGCTACGTCGTGCCGCAGTACAACGCCACGTTCCTCACCATCGCGTCCAGCTTCCTGGTCGACGCAACCCCCGTGGTACGCTGAAATGCGTCGTAGTTCCCATCCCACTCGATTCCCGTGCGGTGAAGAATCTCCGCGCAGGGCTACGTCGTGCCGCAATGCAACGCCACGTTCCGCACCATCGTGTGGAGCGTCCAGCAGCAGCCCTTCAGCACGGACGGTGACCCTGCGCGTGCTCAACAAGGGACGCCCTTTAGCCTCTCTGCGTCCTTCCCTCATGTTCTCTCCCCTCCCCCCTTCCCATTCCCCTTGCATGCTACAGGGCGCGGCGTCCAGGAGCAGTCCGAGGAAGGTGGTGAAGCTGGACGGCCCCAGCAAGTGATGGCCCTCCCTGCATGTCCTCACCCCTCCCACCCCTCCCCTCCCTTCCCTCCTCCCTTCCTTGCATGCTTCAGGGAGCGTCGTCCAGCAGCAACCCGTGGAAGGTGAACCTGGACGTGCCCAGCAAGGAGCTGGCGTTAAACCTCTCTTCATACGTTCCTGATGCCGGCCCCCCTCTTACCCACCGTGCATCATGCAGGGATCGGTGTCGAGCAGCAGTCCGTGGAAGGTGAATCTGGACGTGCCCAGCAAGGAGTGGACTCCGTTTCTGCGCCACTCGCACTACGTGGTGTTTTCTGCCGGCCACTGGTTCACCAATGTACGTGTGTGCGTGATTGAGAGTGGGGCGCTGCAGGTAGTGTTGTACGCGCAGGCATGTGAATGTGCATGCGTGAGTGGCTCCGCTCGCACTACGTGGTGTTTCTCTGCAGGCCTCTGGTTTACCAATGTGCGTGCGTGAGTGCACGAGCGAGTGAGCAAGTGAGTGAGGGCGATGCTTTCTTGTCAGTGTAGCCACAATACACAGAGCGAGAGTGTGAGACATGCAAGGAATGGAGCCCATTCTTCAGGCACCGCACACTATGTGGGCTTCTCTGCAGCGCGCGAGTGGACCGTTGCACAGCTGTGTTCTGGTTCCACTCAAGATCGTGGTCGTGGGTCGCTGCAATCAGCTTGCAAATAGTCGTCGTACATTTGAATGTGTGTGAGTGTGCCGTCCACCACATGCAGGAAACTCATACCCCTCTTTCCGTTTCCCTCTTCCTACCCCACCTCCCCACATGCCCAACCTGCAGTCTGGGAACCTGAGGCAGTGGTTTGTGAAGAAGCAGCAGCAGAAGGGCATGACGTCATCAGCAGCCATGACGGCCGCATACACGACAATGCGCAACTACATCGCGAGCTCCGGCTACACGGGCCTGCCCATGGTGCTCACCTACACGGCCTCGCACTACGAGTCCGCGTTTGCTGCCACGGATTCGGTGAAGGCATGCAGTGGGGCCAAGGGGCCCATGACCTCCAAGCAGATGGCGTTTGCTTCCAAGAAATCGGACGCGCTCGAAGGGAGGACCGCTGTGGTGAAGGTGAGTGTGTGTGTGTGGTGATGGGGCCTAATACCTCCAAACAGATGGCGTTTGCTGTAATCGAGGAGCGCAGTGTGATGGTTAGTGATTTGTGGTGTGTTGGAGAGTGCGCTTGTAGTGAGGGTGGCAGGTAGCAAATGGCTTTAGGGGTCTTGAGTTTTAAAGACCCATCTGATCCTGCCATATGTTTCCATTCAAATGCCAAAATATTCTCTTCCGAACTTGCTGGTATTGCTTCAGGTGTTCCAAGGCAACCCGACCTTCAAGGTTCTTGATGTCAGCAAGGCCAGCTTGATGAGACCTGATGCACACATGGCGAAGTTCAGGGCAGGCACATCCGACGATGACTGCTCTCATTTCTGTGTCCCCGGCGTCCCTGACACATGGTCCGATCTGATGTTCTCTTACATGACCAAGTCTATTTGACATAACGTTACATAGTAGAGCACTTCTAGTGGCTAAACTTCATTTCTCTGGATCTGAAGCTTCCTTGTTGATGATGGAAAACTTGTGTACTCATTTACTTTACAAGATCCCCGTACATCTCAAACTTTCTCTACAGTTGCTATATGACTCATACGTTTGAGGGTTCTGCTCTTTGGTGAAATTCAAGGCCCGGTTTGGCAGGCAAAAAAAAAACGGGCGAGGAGATTGGGCTACAGTGATTCGACCATCCTGGAACCTTCTTCGATTAGCGCGTTAAAGGCTATCAAGGCTCGATATAAGCGGACTACGCCGAACCTGACAATAATGGAAAGCCAACCAAACACCCCTTTTTTCGCAGGCGTTTTCAACCGCCGGAATCTACACCCAAACGAATTTCTCTGGCAAAGTGCCCATTTTCTTATCCCCCGCACCATGCGGCCTCGAGGCCACGCACTATGCGGGGTTTCAGTGATTCGGGGCAATCAAAAGTGACTGGTCAAATATGCCAGCCAATCACAGGATCACGCGAACCATCATGGCAACTGCTTACCATCTTCTGCAAAACCCGAAAATTCGATAGATGCCATCGATCTACACCCAAATAATGCCAACCAAACACTCAGCCCCGTTTTTCCGAATGTGCACTGTAGCTACAATCCGATTTCAATGCAGTTTCTCAGAATCCCAGGCGGCATTTTTTGGGGGCCCGTTAGAAATGCCTACTGCGGCCATAATGGCCATGATGCCTGCCAAACAAGGCCCAAATATCCAGCTGTGGAGACCCCCCTGGTCCGAGGCGCGGCGCCGCCCTTCTACAGTCATCGCGGCTCGAAAACATGCATGCACAAAAGTGAAGAGGTGGTTCCGATTTGCGAAGAAAAATAGTTCACCCTTTCGTCGAGCGTGCGATGCTGTAATGTAAATCGCAAAAATTCGTGGCCGACCCCAGTTGGGGTTCGGGCGATCGGCGCTGCTGGTGTGGCGGGGGGACACAACCATATGTGGTGCGGGTGCAGCTTTGAGCCGCCATTCACTGTTCGCTTGAACGAGGTGGGCGGAAGGGGAAGGGCTTCGCGCCGCAACGCGAACCACTCCATAGCTGGCTCTGCAACAGACTTCCCAAGCCAAGTGAAGTGAGGGTGGTGACCCTGCCTAACCGTTCTCAAACGTTTGTAAACTCAAAGAACCTCACCGAATACGAGTAGAACAAATCTTTGTGGATTATGTAGCACAAACCAAAGCTGCTCTGCCAGGTATTTCAGTCGTTATAATGACCCGAGATATCTAAGTGGCTCATGCGGCAAGTCAAACGGGGTGGCCGTATCTCGGTCAGCTCGCCTCTATTCTTTTGCTTATTTCTTTCTTATCAGCGCCGCACAGCCCCGAGCCTCGGCAGTTTTATAGCACCGCATTTCTCGGCGAATCTCGCGCCATTCTCGCTAATCTCGGCGCGTTACGTTGTAAATTTCGTCGATTTTTTTCGCGAGATTCACGAGAATGGATTTCCTGCTGCTGCTCCTCGTCGTAACGTCGGCGCTGGGCTTGACGGGACCCCGTTGTCACGTGGAGGCCTCTAATGCCACGTCGCCGGATTCCGCGCAGCCGCTGTCGCAATGCGATCTGAGTGCCGGCCGGTAAGTCGGACGGCGATCTCTCTCCACACCACCGCGTTCGTTGCAACTCGCGACGATCGCGACCATTCCGAGTCCCTCGCGACCGTCTTCATAACGCGTCGGGTTACCCCCTTACAGGCGCCTACACGCGTTGCACCTGTCAACACATCAACCTTTTTCTTCCTTCTATCAAGGGTTACCCCCTCCTCCTTTCCGTCCAAATCCCCATTCTATCACGCCCCCCGCGTCGCCTACTAGCGAGGTGCATACTAACGATTGCATCACGCGTTACAGCAAGCCGCCGCGAGTTATCGCCGCCAGAGGATTTTCGTACGCCTTCTTTCCCTCTCCCTCCCCCTGACTTTTGAGCAGACTGAAGAGTCTCCAAAGCCAACTGCGTGCGTAGCCTCTGACTCGGACGCGTTACAGCTGCCAGAGTAATCTCTCCCTCTTTACTCATTCTTACTCACACTGAAATCTCCCTCCGCCTTGTAACCAGCTGGGTCGGTGCGCAACCCCCGGGTCAAGCGCTACACACGCCACAGCTGCCGCTGCAGTTTCTTTAGCCTCTCACCCTCTTCTGCACTCATCTCTCCCTCAGAATCAGCTGGGAGCGCAGTGGCATATCTCGTGCATGAAGCGCTGCACCGGCTACAGCTACCAGAGCAATCCCTTCTCGCTCCCTCTCCCTCTCTCGCAATCGTCTCTCCCCCTCTTTCCTAAGGCAGCTGAGCGCGCAACCCCTGGGTGAAGCGCTACACGGGTTTTAGCTGCCAGAGCAATGTCTTGAGCCTTTCTCCCCATCTTCTCCCCTTTCCCACACTCATCCCACCCCATGTTTCTGAGCCAGCTGGGTGCGCAACCCGTTCGTGAAGCGCTACACGGGCTACAGCTGCCAGAGCATTCGCTCGCAGCTCAACTGCGACCGGAACGGGCGCCCCGACTCGGAGTATCTTAACTACGAGTGGAAGGCCCCCGGGTGCAGCATCAAGAGGTGATGCTCCAACTTAACTCTCTACAGTCACATAAAAACACTAATCAACACTTTTACATATCTATATATGCATGTACATATGTGTGTACGTGTGTGTGTGTGTGCGCGCGCGCGCGCGTGGATGTGTGTGTGCGGATGTGTGTGTGCATGTGCGTGTGTGTGCGTATGTGCTTGTAAGTGTGTGTGTGTGCGTGTGTTTGTGAGTGTGTGTGTGCGTGTGTGTGTGCGTGTGTGTGCAAGTGTATGTGTGTGTGTGTGCGCGAGCGCGCGCGTGTGTGTGTTTGAGTTTGTGCGTGCGTGTGTGTGTGTGTAAGCGCGCGCGTGTGTGTGAGTGTGTGTGCGTGTGCGTATGTGTGTGTGCATGTGCGTGTGTGTGTGCATGGGTGCATGTGTGCATGTGCGTGTGTGTGTGCATGTGTGTGCATGTGTGCATGTGTGTGTGTGTGCATGGTGTGCATGTGTGCATGTGTGTGTGTGTGCATGTGTGTGCATGTGTGCATGTGTGTGTGTGTGCATGTGTGTGCATGTGTGCATGTGTGTGTGTGCGTGCGCGTGTGTGCGTGTGGGCGCGCGTGTGTGTGTGCGCGAACGTGTGTGGGCTGTGTGTTGCGACGCTGTGTGTGCGTTGTGTGTGTGGCAGTGGTGTGGTGTGTGTGCGCGTGTGTCGTGCGTGTGTCGTTGTGTGTGGCGTGTGTGTGCGCGTGTGTGTGAGTTGTGTGTGCGTGTGTGTGCGTGTGTGTGTGCGCATCGTGTGTGCGTGTGTGTGCGTGTGTGTGTGTGAATGCATGTCATTCAATCTTACGGCAGACACCACTCTCCCCCCTCCCCCTCCCTCGTTCTCCTGTCGTCCCTCCCCCAGGTTCAAACACCGCAGCCTTCCTCAGAACGGTGCGCAACAGAGTCTTCATGTCGGCCTGGCGACTCTTACGCCACCAACCTCTACCACGCGCTGCGCTGCCTCATGAGACCACCACCAAAGTCCAAGTAGGTCACCAGGTCAACCAGGTCATCGAGGTCAATCTCAGATCTGTAGTTAGATCCTATGCCACTAGCGTCTGCCACAGCGCTGCACTGCCTCATCGCGACCACTGCACAAGTCAAGGTCAAGGTAAGTCAATCAGGTCAAACATACCAGGTCTGTTATTGAATCATATGCCACCAACCTCTAGCACGTACTGCGCTGCCTCGTCGAGACCTCCGCACAGGTCGAGGTAAGTCAACCAAGCATATTAGACACGATCTGTCATTCCATTGGTGTGCCATCAACTTCTGCCATGCATTGAGTGCCACCCTCTCAGTCGTTGGTGTGACTCACAACTGCCATTCTCTCTCTTTTTGAGACATCTAAAAAATTACCCTCCCTGCATCACCATCAGGACTACGGCATGAGCTCGGCCGTCGGGATGGGAGTTAAGGCGTCCGGATTCAGTGTACCATGAAATTTTGTATTGTTGCTCGTATCATTTGACCCTTCATGTCATCTTCCCTCTCTGCTTCGCAACCAGGACTACAGCACGAGCTCTGCGTTTGGGACAGGAGTGAAGGCGTCCGGATTCAGCGTACCGTCGCACAACTTCCTCTTCCTCCGCCAGTCCACCAACTTCCTCGTCGATTCCGAGCCTCAGGTATGTTTCCGCCCACGCGCATCCCGAACCTCTTTTAAGTTCGGTTTCCTCTCTGTCATCTCAATCTGCTTGCCTGTCTTTCGTCTCTTTTCCCTTCTTTCTTCCAGTTCTATCTCCTGTTCATGCTCTCTACCAGGGGCCTGTGGTTGGTAGGTGTTCTCTCTGGCCTTCTTTTGCTCTCCTCTCTACTGCCGTTGTGTCCTTCCTCCACTCCTCTCCCTCTTCATTCCACTCCCTCCTCCTCCCCCTCTGAAAGGTCTCTACTCCATCCATGTTCCTCTCTCCTCTCCTCTCTCCTCTCCTCTCTCCTCTCCTCTCCCCCTCATCTCCACACTCCTCTTCGCCGTCTCCAAGGCGTCAGCGTCCAGCAAGGGCTTTTGAATGGTGCATCTGCACAAGGACTCTACTCTATGCCCCTCTCTCCCCTCCCCTTCCTCTCATCACCTCCCCTCCCCACTCTTCTCCACCCCTCTCCATTCCTCCCCGCTCCTCTCTCCTCCGCGTACCAGGGTTCAGCGTCCAGCAAGGGCGTGTGGACGGTGCGTCTATGGCAGGCAGATCCCAAGTGGGCAAAGCTCATTCCACATGTCAACTACGTGCTCTTTGCTACAGGCCATTGGTTCACTAACGTGAGTGCACTATAGCGAGCCTAGCTCATCCCTTATCTCAACCATGTGCTCTTCCACTGCAGGCCATGTGAGATCACTAGCATGAGTACGCTCGCATGACTACGGTATCGTTAATGCATTAACCGAAATATGTAAAATATCAAACTACTCCCTTTCCATTCGGGCCCCCTTCACTTCACCCCCCACGTAGGCCCCCTCCAACACTCGCGACTACCGCGATAACAACGGGAAGCAAATCAGCATCAATTCAATGAGGGCCATGCGCACCGCGATCCGGACCGTCCGTCAGACGATCCAATCCACCAACTTCCGCGGCATGCCCCTGTTCCTCTCGTACACGGCAACACACTACCAGAAGTCGTTCCCGCCGCAAGATTCCATGAATGACTGCATGGGTGCTAAATCGCCTGTGGGAAATAACGTGGTGGCGTATGCGGAAAAGAATACCTTCTTCATGCAGGCGCGAAATCAGCTCCGCTCGGTAAGAACGAAGCCGGCGTTATCCCCTTGGATAATCAGTTCTTCTTCCAGATTCTTTTTTATTTCTTGATGCTTTCCATTCTTAAGCGAGCCCTCTTCCATGTTTTGTGTGGGTGGGTGCATACGTGCGTCCATGTGTGTGAGAGCATGTGTGCGTGTGTGTGTTCTGATCTCTCCATGCTTCTTCTCTCTGCTTACCACCTTCCCCTGCACGACTCCTTTTCTCGCTGGATGTGGTATGCTTTAGGTGATGAGGAACTCGAGGTTCAAAATTATAGACATCACCAGGGCTACACTGTACCGTCCGGATGCACACTTGCAGAAGTACGGGGAGGAGTCAGAGGATTGCTCTCATTGGTGCGTTCCGGGCGTGCCCGACTCATGGGCTGACATTGTGTATTCCTATGTGACTGGCTCACTAGCGTGAAGGATGCAGCATGTTTGATAATCTAACTCAGGAAGTCATACCTCATGATTTGCCTGAGATGATGATTAGAGTTGGATACTGGCTACGTTTTATAGTGAGCATTAATTGTGAGTGTAGCAGAAACTATGTTTTAGCTCTTTGTCTTTGTGTGGGTATCGAATTACAAGAGCCCGATAGATGATTTGAACCCCCGATAGTGGCCAGGAACCAGGATCACCTGTAGCGCGGCTTGACGAATTACCGAGCGCGGTTCGTCACACATTTTCAAATGCCAGAAGTGCGCGAGGTGTCGAAACCAGGGGAAGCTGTTTTCTCACACTATGCACGGCACGCAGAACACGTAGTAACTGAACACACAAAAAAGAGGCTGTCCTTGTGATCTTTTTCCCTCAGTGCCTTTTATGCCGCACCAATCGCACGCGAACACTTAACGGCTGTGCTGGTCCAACATAGACCTTAGGACTCATATGTTCTACGTCCAGGTTCACTTTCCAAATCATAGGCTAGGCTAGAGCAAGTAGTCTCTGGTTGTCGAGAAGCTGGACCAATGCCGAACCGCCAGCTGGCAGCGATGCAGCTACGTTGGCCTGTGTTGCACGTTCGGAAGGCTCCGGTCGCATCGCCTTCAAGGAGGAGAGCACTGGTTCCGCTTCTGGCGCTGCTGGTGCTGGAAGCGGCACTTGCGGCGCCCGCCGCGGCTACGGATAACGGGACGCTTTGCGACATCACCGCTGGCGAGTAGGTTGCGGTCTATCGTTCCGCCTGAAATCCTGTGGTCTATTTTTATTTCGAGAAGCCTCAAGAGTTGTTGAGCCTCAGGCGCCGCAGTAATTTCTGTACATTCTTACGTTGCGCGAACGATAGGTTAGCGGTGTGGGTATGTTGCCGTCATTGGCGCCAGGGAAAAACATCTGCCCCCGCAATTGGCAGTAACCAATGTGCCGTTGTTGGGGAATCGGGTAAAAAATTAATGCGCAAAGCAACGAAGCTAACTGTGTTTGCATTTCTCGTGTGAATTACTAGTAGCGTCGCTTTTGAGAATTCTCAATAGCGTCGTCGCGTGGGTTTCACATCCCTCGTGTTTCATCTGTTCCTCGGTGTGCAATGCAATAACGCTCTCGAGACTCTCGTCTGCATTAGCGCTCCCTACGTCGTTTAGATCTCTCTTTCCGCCGGTACTGTGTGCGTCACCTTCTCATCTTCTCATTTCGATCGCACGATATGTAATAGGGTTGTCTAGTAGTGTCTCGTGAGACTTCTTAAAGCGTGCTGGAATGTTGTGCATTTCATTCCAAATTCTTATGAGAAGTAGGTGCCTCAAGTCCGCTGCTCGTGTTCGCCGTCCCCTCTTGCCGTCGTTTCTTAACGTCAGTTATAACCGTCCCGTCTTTCCGCCCCCTCTTTCTGCCTCCCTTCGTCGTTCCCATCTTACCGTCCGTTCTAGCTATCCCGTCGTTCAACCTTCCCTTTCCGTCTCCTTTTTTGCCGTTCCCATCTTACTGTCCCCTCTCACCGTCCCGTCTTTCCGCCTCCTCTTTCTGTTTCCCTTTCCCGTTCCCATCGTACCGTCCGCTCTCACCATCCCGTCGTTCCATCTCCCCTCTCTGTCTCCCCTTGTCCTTCCATCTTTCCGCCCCCTGTTTCCGTCCCCCCTTGCCGTCCCGTCGATCCGTCCCCTCTTGCCATCCCCCTTCTCGTCCCTTCGAACCGCCTCCTATTGCCATCTGCTTTGCCGTCCCTCTTCCCATGCACTATTTCTATCCCCTCTTCCCGTCTCCGATTCGCGCCCCCTGTTGGTGTCCCTTATTGCCGTCCCTTATTGCCGTCCCTTATAGCCGTAACCTATTGCCACCTGCCGTTCCCTATTGCCGTCCCGTCCCCTCTTACCCTCCTCGCTTGCCGTCCCTTCGTGCCCTCCTGCCGCTCCCTCTTGCCCGCCCCCCTTGCACCCCCCCTAAATCCTGATGTCTTTCTCGATTCAATAGTCTCTATCGGCCCTCCTCTCACTTTCCCCCTCCCTGAATCTCATCGCGCCAGATGGATCTACACCCCGCGACTCGCGCCGCAATACACGGCGGAGAGCTGCAAGAGCCTGGGACGCAACTTCGCGTGCCAGCGCAACGGGCGGCCCGACTCGGAGTACGAAAAGTACACGTGGCGCAGCTTCGGATGCACCATCGCGGAGTAAGTCCTCCCCCCTCCCCCCATGTCCGCCCTCCCCCTCATCTGCATTGCTCCCCATGTCCGCCTCCCCCCACATTGTTTTCCATGCCCTTTCCCGCGTTGCCCTCCATTGGATTGCTCCCCGTGCCTTTTCCCCCCTTTTCCGCATGCCATCCCGTATCTCTCCCCTCATTGCCTCCATGCCCTCCTCGCAATGCTCCCCACGCCCTCCCCCAGGCGTTGCCTCCTATGTGCCTTCCGCCTCCCCCTCTCCTCCCCCCGGCCCTCCTCCCCCCCCTCTTCCCGCTGACCTCCATGCACCTTACTAGTGGTGTTGGCCTTCCTAGTATGGACCTTCTCACACATTCCTCTATTTCCACCGCACTCCACCAGATTCAAGCCGCTCTCCTTCCTCACGCTGCTGCGCAACAAGGTCTTCCTGGTCGTGGGGGACTCGCTCACCATGAACCTCTTCTCCTCGCTACAGTGCCTCGTCGAGACTGTCGCAACCACGGAGGTGACCACCCGTTATAGTCACAATCACTCAAAGTGACGCCCTGTTATTGTTGCATGTCCTGTTTTCTCAAAGGTTCCCACTTCCTCCTCTTCTCCTCTTACCGTCCCCACCCACCATCATTCTCCCCTTGTAATAAACAATCTCCCCTTGGGCCTTGAATCCAACCATTACCTTTACCTTCATTTTTTCCCCTCTTCTAAACCTCCCTATCTTTCTCCCTTCCCTTCCCTCCCTCCACCTTCATCCTTCCCTCCCTCCTCCAACTCCCCTTTTTCTTCCCCAGTACAGGAACTGAAAGAGCCTCTATTCTCTGGAAGATAAAGAACCCTTGGGATCATCGTGGTGGTTTTTGAGGCGTGTAGAAAGCACTGCCCGTCACCTTCCTGGCTGCAGGAAGTGAAGGGGCCTCTGTTCCCTGGAGAACCGAAAACCCTCGGGATTTTCGTGCCTGCCTTCAATGCAAACGTGCTGCGCCACCCCTTTCCCCCTCCACTGCCCTTCCCCTTTCTGGTTGCAGGGAATGGATGGGCCTCTGTTCCCTGGAGGACCAAAGACCCGTGGGATCTTCGTGCCTGCTTTCAATGCAACCCTGCTGCGCCACCCCTCCTCGTTCCTCGCCAACTCCACTCCCGATGTATGCTGCTCCGTTCTCAATATAAGATGTTCTGTACACGATATAAGCTGCCTGCTCCATACTCGATATAAGCTGAGTCTATATGAGCCTCGAAATTCACCGCCACCCTCCTTATTGCACATGTTGTTTCAACCTGCAGTCCTCTCTACCATCCTCTCTCTCTCTTGCTTCTCGCCTATGTTCCCCCCCTATTGCAAGCCATGGGAACAAGTGTGGTGCTTCCTAATTTGACCTGTTTGATTCAATCTGCATCAATTTGTGCCCTCGTCCTTTCACTCTCTCCTCTCTCCTCTCTGCTCTCTCCTTTCTCCTCTCTCCTCTCTCCCCCTCTGCTCTCTCCTTTCTCCTCTCTCCTCTCTGCTCTCTTCTCTCCTCTCCTCTCTCTGCTCTCTGCTCTCTTCTCTCTCCTCTCTGCTCTCTCCTTTCTCCTCTCTGCTCTTTCCTCTCTCCCCTCCCCTCTCTCCTCGTCCCTCTTGGTGGATCAGGGAGAGAAGTCCAGTGCAAGCACGTGGACAGTGCATCTGGATGAGGTGCATCCTGATTGGTCGCCGCTTCTACTGTACTCGCACTACGCACTGTTTGGAACTGGTGTCTGGTACACCATGGTGAGTTATGATTTTCTTTTTGTCATTCGCTGAATTATGCACTTCAATACAGAGACACACTCCTTTTTTTTTTCTTACCGCTATCGGATTCACCGTGGCGAGCTTTATTTTAGATATTGTGCTATTATTTTTGTTACGATCACATGCGGATGGTTGGTACGGTGCATCGCATCACCCAATACAGCCAACCTTGTTGCAACCTTCAACCCCTCCCAACACTCCACCATCCTCAAATACGCCATGCACAACCCAGTCCCTATTTGTTACCCAAACTTCTAACCGCCCTGCACAACCCAGTCCCAATATGTTACCTAGACTTTCAAGTCCTTCCTTCGCCTGCTCCCTCTCCTCCCTCCCTTCCCAAACTGCACTGCGTCCACCAGGCGGACCCCAAGAAGCGCAATTACATGATCAACAACGTTCGTCAGCCTGAAATGGACGGCATCCTTACAATGCAACTCGCTATGAACACAGTGAGGAAGTTCACTCGGAGTCTGAAGTACACCGGCATGCCCATGTTCCTGACCTTCACCCCGATGCATTACGATGTGAGGCTGAATGAGAGCATGCAGCATGCCAACTGCAGCGTCATCCAACGGCCGTTAACGTTCGAGCAAGTCGCCAATATGGAATGGGCAGTTGACGCAGTGAAGACTCGCAAGGCTCAACTTAAGGTAAGAACCAGGTGCATTCATTACAGTAGTCAATATTTTGAGAAACTACATATGAAATGAAAAAGGTACATTCTCACGTCCCATTTTTACAAAGGTTCAAATATCAAGGGATTTCATGGAGGTTTGGGTCAATGCTATTCAGTTTATATCCTCCAGTAACTTTTGTTTCATGGCAGGTATTTCGGCATGACCCGGAATTTAAAATCATAGACATCACCAACTTGGCCTTGTATCGAGCTGATGCTCATCTCCAATCCTATTTCGATGTCAAGGGAGGCATTGACTGCCTCCATTGGTGCATTCCTGGTGTACCCGACACTTGGGCCAACATAATATATTCCTATATGATGGGATATTTATAGCAGATTTCGACATTTTGTAATATGCTTTTCTATAACGCATCACCGCATCTTCAAACGGAAAGGCTCTATTGGTTGTGTTCTACATCCACATGATGATGGGATGGCAGTGGAATCTGGGTTAGCGATTTTGCAAAAGCTTTGTGTTATGCACGGCCAAATCGCATGACCACCCTTTCAGCAGCCGGATTTTCCAAATTGTTAGAAGAACAGAAGAACTGAAGGAAGCATGTAACACTTTCCAAAATTGTGTATTGTGAATAACAATAATATTTGTACCGAAGCAAAGGCTTCGCCTAACTTTCAGTACTTCCCCTCTTTCTGGTACGAAAGTGGGGGCAATGTGTTAGAAACTGAGAATGAATGACTAGATTGAGGCATAGGGGGGTACAAATAGCAACCCATACCCTCTACAGTACAACCTAACCTAGCTTGATCGTGTACACCTATAAACGTATACGATAAGCATACATTGACGCACCCCTATGGTCAGGGAAGGGGCAATACCTAGGAGATGAGAAACAACATAGGGCAACACCACCAGTCCAGCATCCATCACCACGTTCATGCGCCGCACCTTTTGGGTTGGAGGCATTGTAGTCCAATCCCTAGGCTTGCTCCAACACTCGCGCCACCAATGCCCGAGTTTCTTGCAATACTGCCATGCTCCTTCATGAGCATGACCACGGTTGTTGTTGGCGTGTCGTCCACGTGAAGGGCTCGTGCTTCTATTTGCATGCCCACGGTCATTTTATGGCAAGGTGTAGACAACGCCTTTCCTCAAGCCACACGTGAAGTGAGCCGAACTCGTTGTATCGTCTTACAAGTGTTAAGATTGAGGAGTAGGAATGGGTGATTAGGTCAAGGAAGGGAGATACAAACAAGGTGTCGAGAAGGTTTGTCTAGCCCTAAGGCTAGCCCCTATATAGCCTAAGGAAATATAAATATATATGCTTTGATACACCCCCATTGGCTAAGTGGGGGATAGCCAGAGCAAACAATGGTCACAAGACCAGTCAAGAGAAGCAACAAAGTAAAGCTCAAGGTGGATCTCAAGGTCACCACACATTCCAAGCAGAAGCAAATGGCCACAAAGCCAGTTCACATGTAGTGTCATAATAGTACAAGCAGTACAGTGATTACAGCCTAGCATGTGTAAACATGCAGGTACAAAAATATATAGCAGAGTACAACTAGTATAGGCAAAATTAAGAGACAAGCAGGTGAGGTAGAGTGGGCACAAGCCCAAGAGCAGAGCAGAACCGCTGATGATCACCAGGCCCTACGGCCTTGGAGAAGATACCGTCACCCCCCGGATATAAGCGCCACCCTAGGATAAGCGCCTGGCGCTTCTAATTGGCATATGGCGCTTATATCCCCTCCTCGATTATAAGCGCATACCCTAGAGTCGTACGGATTATAGCCGCATACCTGTACCTTACACATTATAACCGCCACTTTTTTAAATATTTTTTTTCTACAAACTTCACCAACCACATTAACAACTTATATTTTCATCTAATTAACTACAAAGTCAGTTTATCTACAGTTTTTTCTAATTACAGTTCTAAATCTACCTACGAGTCTCACAGGCTACAGCAATTTCTAGATCTACGTAATCTAGTCATCAGCTGCGGTAGGATCATCCGGGTCGGCCTCAGAGTCCGACTCTGGTTCTTCTACGTTGTTGCAGAAAAAACCATCAGCTGCAATGTCGACGTCGATGTCTATTTCGTCGCCCTCAAGCTCGTCGCGCCTGTGTTGCAGGCAGATCTTGTCCTGGGACCCATCCAGGGCGTTACTAATGCCACAGGTGAGGAAAGCCCGTTGAATCAAGTCCCTGGGCACGGCCTTCCAAGCCGCTGATATCCACTTGAGCGTTAGCTCGGGTGGTGGCTTCTTGATGTTGCCTGCCATAAAATTTAAACAATCAAAAGTCAGCCACCGCTACAAACTGATAAAGCAGCACATGCATGGCCTGCCTCTCTCACCTTTCTTTGTCAAGGTGTCGACCCCCTCGCTCTCGAACCACTCCTGGTAGAGCTGGCGAACGGATGCCTTGAAGGAGCGATTCACCGCGACGTCCAGAGGTTGAATCCCCGAGGTGCAGCCAGCTGGGATAACGGCAGGGACGATGTTCAGCTCCCCGAACTTCTTCTTCACCTCCGCAGTCAGGTGCCCGCGGTACGAATCCAAGACATCTGCTGTGAAACAAGTAAACAGGAATGGAATGACTAAGGAAAGATTGGGTACAAATACAACCCTAGAAACTCTGTACCCCATATGTGCTACCCCGCTATAGCCTACAGCAACTATGTCATATAAATCTGACACACCCCCATAGGCAAAGTGGGGGAGAACAAGGGGTCACAAGACCAGTCAAGTAAAGCAAAGCAGAGCAAGCTCAGGGTGGATCACAACGTCACCACACAGTCCGAGCACAAGAGCAGGGCCAGAGGCCAGTTCACATGCAGGAGTACATACATATATATATAAAGCTAGACAAGCAAGAGCAGGTATATATATGTCACAGTACAAGTAAAGTCAAGAGGAGAGCAAGTGAGGCAAGACAGGCACAAGACCCAGCTGGGTGCAAAAGCGCTGATGGTCACAAGGCGCGAGTGCCTTGGTGAACACATCAGCAGTGTTGGCCTCAGAGGCCACGTACGCAAGTCGGAACTGACCACGCTGCTGCAGCTCACGAGCAAGGAAGTAGCGGAGAGCAATGTGCTTCGTTCTGTGCTCCAAGCGCTGCTCTCGACAC